AGTTCTCCCCTCGATTGTCAGCAGACGGACACATTTTGGTCCAAGAAACAATTCCATTCGAATCATTCGATGCAGTTTGGTACTATGATTGGAAGGAGAAGGACTACTACCGTCTTATGATCACAAAGGGAAAAGATCAACTTGTACTTTCTGTGCAAGGAGCAAGGAGGGTAGCCACCATTGAACGATTTGACAAACTCATTGGGAACATTGTGCCTGATGAATCATCTCCCGATCTGAACGAACTTCGAAAGCTTGTCGATATCAAGACCGGTCACTTCAGTCATGCTCACAGATTGTTCCCTGGACATCCGGATTGGAATGATGCAATATCATTGTTGGCAGTCACTCATCATCCTAGCAAGGAGGACCATCGACTATGCCCCGCATGTCTGATGGAGACCCCTGCACCATTATCGATTTGTGTGATGTGCAAAGGATTTTTGGTAAGTCATGGATGGAGGAAGCGAATCAAGATCACCGTGGCTACTGTACCAAGTGCCGAATCACGTCCTCGAGAAGAAGATCTCAAAGACCATGTCAAGAAAGCATGGGAAGAAGTGAAGATCGATTTGACAGGTGAAGGTGATGACGACGAGCTGATGCAAGATGATGATGACGTCACCATGAAGAGTCCAGAACAAGAACCTCAACAAGAAGAAGAAAATGATGATCAAGCCTCGAAGAAGGGCGACATCAATGATGAGAGAAGAGACTTCAGAGAGCAAGATGAGGTCGATAAATTCATCAATGAGGAAGGAAAACAAACCGATGAGAACGACGATGAAGAAATAGAGGTCGATGAAATCAACATCGAGGAGTACGAGGCTGGAGAAGCTCATGATGCAGTGATTGAGTACCCCAAGTGGCTGAAAAGGGTTGAGTTTGGATCAAAAGTCCTACCAATCGAGCCTTGTACAATTGGATATGCTCAGCCGGAGCTCATCAAAATCCTCCTGTTACAGATTGGGTTGCATATCGTCAGGATCTACAGACTATTCCAACGGAACTTCCGTGGAGACATTGAGACGGCATGGAAACACTTTCAACAGAACCAGAAATTCAGGATGGACTTGGATTCAAGAGTTCCATACCTAGGTGAGGACGAAAATGGTGAACTCATCGAACCAACCGCACAACAGATGAAAGAGCTCTACCAGGAAATCGGCCGACCACAACAGAAGGACGACATCGGGGAAGAGGGATTCGTCAATGCATACTATGGGGCGGTGGTACTCAAACGACTTCTTGTGTATACCCTTGAATGCGGTTACACATATGAAGACTTGCAAAATATCTTCTTCGATGAAGAAATGGAGAAACTGTCGAAATATGACTCAACAAGGGATGAGATGAGAAAGACCACAGCCGCCCGTGAAGCCCTTGACCGACAAGACGTCCTGGTCAGAAGAATCATTGCAGGTGCATACAGAGTGAATGCTGTTTATTTCTTCAGGAACGCCGACTTTCAAGACACAATCACACTGAACCCAGTTGACATTGTGTGTGCTCTTCGACCTGCACTTCGAAGAATTTCAGTTTTGCATCTGATCCTTCAAAATGGCCGACAATTGCCGCGACCTCTACTCCAGAAACTGTATGATGCAATCAATGACTACAACCACATTAAGCAGCGGGATGATCAACGACCAAGATGGGGCATCCACATGACAGAAGCCCACCTACTTGCGATTGTTGATACCCCGACTCCTGCCGATCGTGAACGTACTAATCCAGCAGCTGGCAAATCAAAGGCAGCCCCGAAGGCAGCACCAGCACTGGGCAGAGTGTCAAAAGCGAAAGCATCATCGTCAGCAACATGGAGAACCATCGAAGCCGCTCCTCCGCCAAAACAAGCTCCAGTGACACCGCCACAGAAAGGTGGAAAAGACCAAGGGAAAGGTGGAAGATCTTATTCGCACCGTGGTGGAGACTGGAACCAACATGGATACTATGGATGGGGATATAGATGATAAATCGATATGACCTCTGCATAGGTCCTGATTGAATCTGGCGAAGCGAGGATGCAATCATTGCTCGAGATTTACCTCTACTTCATTTCGAATGATTTCTGAGAGGACTCTGAGCCGGCTAATTTAGAGCCACATTTTTTTTAGAACATCATTGCACGAGACGCTGAGTTTCTACAGCGGTCTACATCTCAACCGACGAAGGAACGGGAAGGTAATCTTCTAGTTCCATAGTCATATTTGTGTTTCGATTTTTTTTAATTCACATGCTTGAGTGGGATTCCATGCTGGCTACGCCACATCGGATGAACCTCAATGCTAGACACCGACTACGTCGTATCAGCATGCACGTGAACAGGACCTTTATCTTTTGGTAGAGATCGTAGCAAGCCGCCATGTAGATTTGAAGTTCTGAACGGACTTTAGCTCTCCATAATTCAATAAATGAACAGCTGCAGACGAAGTGGATCAATTTAAGGGACACTCCTTTGCGCGTGGCCAACAAAGTTGGTCATGCGTGGGGGGTGCGAATGGAGTGTAGGCTACGGATCACTGCACACTCCCATATAATTCAACTCTTAATTGTCCACCGCCAAGGGGTGCATCAATCTGCTCCTTTGGCTCAAGATCACTGCAGGTGCCAAGAGAAAACGCCGCCATGCTGAAACTGCAATTCCCGTGTCGTCATTGTTGAGAACATCAACCTCAAGATCAAACAACAGCACATAATCGGGGAGATAACCTCCCGATTCACAATCTATCTATCTATCTATCTATCTATCTATCTATCTATCTATCTATCTATCTATCTATCTATTTGTCTGTCTATCTATCTATCTATCTACCTATCTATCTATCTATCTCTCTCTCTCTCTATCTATCTCTCTCTCTCTATCTCTCTATCTCTCTCTATCTCTCTATCTATCTATCTATCTATCTATCTATCTATCTATCTATTTGTCTGTCTATCTATCTATCTATCTATCTACCTATCTATCTATCTCTCTCTCTCTCTTTATCTATCTCTCTCACTCTCTCTCTATCTCTCTATCTCTCTATCTATCTATCTATCTATCTATCTATCTCTCTCTATCTCTCTATCTCTCTATCTATCTATCTATCTATCTATCTATCTATCTATCTATCTATCTATCTATCCGATCTATCTATCTATCTATCTACCTATCTATCTATCTATCTATCGATCTATCCGATCTATCCGATCTATCCGATCTATCCGATCTATCTATCTATCTACCTATCTATCTATCTATCTATCTATCTATCTATCTATCTATCTATCTATCCGATCTATCCGATCTATCCGATCTTTCCGATCTATCCGATCTATCCGATCTATCCGATCTATCCGATCTATCCGATCTATCCGATCTATCCGATCTATCCGATCTATCCGATCTATCCGATCTATCTACCTATCTATCTACCTATCTATCTACCTATCTATCTAAAAGGTTTGCATTATCATCGAGATGATGTTCAAAGCCCAAGCCAACGCTGAACCAAGCCAGAATATACAGTACACCAACCTTATTCAAAGAGATCTTAAACCAACACGATGATAACATCCAATGAAACTATTGTGCATCGTTGTGCCTTAACCTTAATTCCACATGTTTCCAGGGTGCATGTCGTGTAGTCTATACACCTTGAGTATCACATTCAACCCAGCACCTTGCATGTGAAAATAGGTGTTTCCAATCTGCTTTGGGGGGGAGGCGCTGGGCCCTTGCCCCCCCAATCCCCCCCTTCCCGTTTTTTTAAATTATTTAAATTCAAACTTGTACATTTTTCAATACACTAGTTTGATTTGACTATACCTATATTTATGTTGTTATCTATTTATATATATAGGTATGTATACATAGACATATATATGTATATAGTTATATTTGCACTTATATACACACTATTACACACTTATATATATATATATATATTTATATGTACTTATATTTATATATATATACATATATATATATATATATGTATATATATATATGACATATTCGTGGTTGTTTATATACACAGCTGTGATCCCAAAATAAACTATAAATAATCATGCGCATGGATATGCATCCACATAATTTTAGCTATTTTTATGTACATGTTGTATGCCTAAATAACCCCTAATCCAACCCTCAACAATCCCTGACCAGACCCTAAATCAGCCCTAGAGAAACCTTACTAACCCTAGATAGACCCTAAACAAATCTAGCAGAAACCATTAAACCAACTAAATAAACCCTAAACCAAACCCTGCATGTATATTAAATACACCTGCAAATACACTGATCTACATGTACATATAGTCATGATTAGATTGGAGAAAACAATGGAACAATTCAAGAAAACCATGGAAAAATTGAAGAAAACAATGGACAATTTGAAGAAAACAATGGAAAAATTGAAGAAAACTATGGAACTATTGAAGAAACCATAGAAAAGTTGAAGAAAACAATGGAACACATGAATAAAACAATGGAGAAAATGAAGAAAACTATAGAAAGATTGAAGAAAACCATGGACAAATTGAAGAAAACCATGGAAAAATTGAAGAAAACCATGGAACAATCGAAGAAAACCATGGAAAAATTGAAGCAAATCATGGAACAACATGGAAAAATGGAAGAAAACCATGGACAAATTGAAGAAAACCATGGAAAAATTGAAGAAAACCACGGAAAAACCAATGAAAACGATGGACAACTCGATAAAACCATTGAAAAAATCCTGAAACCAGTCGAAAAATTGATGAACAGTGCGAATGAGAGATTTTAGCTTGCAAAAACCAAGGAAGGGAGCCTGGACGACAAAAAAAAATGTCCCAAAAAATAAAATAAAATTGCCAATTTAATTTCGCACCCGTTCCAACTGCCACAGGTTTTGATCCCTCACAATGCTCCTGATGACTCATAGGGTCACAGGCATTTTTGGCGGTGACACATAGCGACCCACTTTCAGTATCTTTCAGTGGCATGGCCTAATGGCATCTTTCATGAACGACAGGACAGCGCGGGGATCGCATTGTTTGGATCGATGAGGACTTGGCGGCTCCTTGATTTGCAGGAGAAGGGCTGTGGAATAGCTACAGTACCAGTTGGGAGAAGGGGTTGTAGTTTTGTAATGTGTGGTGTTGTTTGGTGCTACATGATGCTACCAAGTTGAGAATTCAGCAAGTTTAGCAGTCAGCATGGAAAGCCGCTGTTGACATGGCACAACAATGCACAACATGTCAGACTAAGAACTATTCAGTCAAAACTTACAGTATCCATTAAATTCCATCAAGTCACATCGAAGGACATGGTCGCTGTCAAACGCGACTAACTTTAACATACTTCAATATGCCTGGTTGCATTGTATATATAGTTGGAAAATGTTGACGATATGGTATCATCGTGGATCATTTTCAGCCACTACCATTGAAGATCATTCATGGAGTACAAAACAATACAAAACAATACAAAGCAAAGCACCCTGCGTTGGGATCTATGATCCTGTATGATCTAGTGGATCCCTCACCCACAACTGCCTGGCAGACGATGAAGGCGGTCCGCTATGGAGCACGTTGTGTGGCCAGTGGCATCGCTTCGTTGAAGGCAAATCATGGGCGAAATGTAGGGAAGGGCGGGTAAGACGTACTTAACATGTACTGTGCAATATATGAGCAACTGTCAAAACTCGCGGATACTAAGATATGTATTGGCTGGACACTGGTTTTCAGAAAGTGCAAAAAACTGAGGTTAGCGATGGGACCTTCCCAAATAGCGATACCCCATGTTGAATTCAATAATTAATAATTATATTTCATGAGTGTTGATTTCGTCAAGTGCTCGCATTGGTGATAGGCTTGGGCTCAGGGTTGAAAAGGCAAGGAACAGGACAGGGAAATGAAAAGAAAAAGAAAAGGAAAAGGACAGGAACAGAAAAAGAAACAGGAAAGGAAAAGGAAGAGGAAACAGAAAGGAAAAGGAAAGAGAAAGGCAAAGGAAAGAGAAAGAAAAAGAAAAGAAAAGAGAAAAGAAAGGAAAAGGAAAGGGAAAGAAAAACGAAAAAAGGAAACGAAAGGAAAAGGACAGAAAAAGGGGAAGGAAAGGAAAATAACAGAAAAGGGAAAGGAAAAGGACGGGAAAAGGAAAAGCATAGTTTCACAAGCAAATGATAATGCACCCGCCTGATTCTGCAAAAAAAGAAGGTCGGTTTTAGCGATACCATAGCGATGCCTTAGCGATACCCAAGCGATACCCAAGTTCACCCAATTGCACAGGATCCCCAACTACTTGTACCTGTACTTCTACTTCTACTGCTAAGTCTTCTATTGTACTTCTGCTTCTACTACTACTACTACTATTACTACTACTACTACTAGTACTACTACTGCTACTGCTACTACTACTACTACTACTTCTACTTCTACTTCTACTTCTTCTACCACTACAATCACCAATACTACCACCACTACTACTGATTACTGCTGCTGCTACTGCTGCTACTACTACTACTACTTCTTCTACTTCTTCTACTTCTTCTACTTCTTCTACTTCTTCTACTTCTTCTACTTCTTCTACTTCTACTTCTTCTACTACTTACTACTTCTACCACTACAATCACCATTACTACCACCACTAGTACTGATTACTGCTGCTGCTACTGCTGCTACTACTACTTCTGCTACTACTGCTACTGCTACTGCTACTGCTATTGCTGCTACTGCTGCTACTACTACTACTACTAACAATATCCAATATTCATAAATAGACATGATAACGATCGGCCACTCAGGATTGAGACATCGCTTAGTGCAGAAAGATCAATGGATGCAATAGAAAAGAAAAAATCGGAAAAAAAAAGAAAAAGGTTACGCACCTACAGTAGATATACTGTTTATGTAAATATCAACACACACACACATATATATATATATATTTATTTATTTATTTTTATGTGTGTGTATGCCTCTACGATCTAGCTATGCCTATCTGTATAATTCTAGACCCCTCAAGTTGGACCCGCCCTGATCTGATTCACATCGAAGGAGATCGTGGACGGGACCGTCCACGAGATCCTCCGTGTCCGCCGCGTCAAGAAGCGGCTGGGGAAGGCAGCTCGGCGGTGCTTGAAAGTCGTGCGCCGGCACCACGCCCCGAGTGCGTGGCCGAAAAGGATGGCCCGCCTCGTGCGAGAATTGGTGGCGCACTTGGAGGCGTAGGCCGGGGAGTGCAGCTGGGGCCCGGGATGACCACGAGCCACATCAGTTATATACTTATTCGCTAAAGGCAACTTTCCATCTTCCATCTAACGACATTTCAGACCATTATACTTAATTATAAGCAATGGTGTACAACTTCAAGATTGCGCATTCGAAATTCCTATTTGGCAAGACTAGTTGTATATATTAAAAGCCCGGTCTTTACATCCTGGACACCCCGAAAACATTGACTGTACACCATGATATAGATCGAAGGATGTAGTGGCCATTCCACTTCGCTAAAGATTGCGACATCCCCAATTCCCATCCACTGGCCTCTTCACACGGCACATTCCCGCACGGTTTCCCCCGTCAGGAGAAGGAAAAGGCCGAGACTGAGGAGAGCTTTGGGAACCGACATGGGGTCTCTGGGTCTATCCGCATAGTATTTGTATGTGTGTGTGTGTGTATGTGTGTGTGTATGAGGTATGAGTGCATCTTCGTGTATGTGCACCCGTAGGATCATCGATATATTTGACATGTTGTGTCTTTTATTGCTCCCTCTGTTTACGTAAATTGAAATCTGATTATGTATGATATATATATATATAGAGAAAAAATAGAGAAAGAAACCAATAAGTTCTTCAAAGGACTTAAAACATAGTATATATATATGCATATGCATGTATGTATATCAACCGATCTGATACTACCAGCCCGCGAATCAGAATTCCGCTACCTCAGCACCATCATGGCACCACGTAGACCTCAGAAATCAAGAAAGAGCCCCCATCGCTATACAATCCCAGAAAAGATGTGTGATATTATACTATGCACCGATCCAAAGATGATGAAGATATAGAGAGAGAGAGAGCGGCGAGAGAATGAGAATGAATGCGTCCTTACATGAATGCACGCATATTAACATCTTGTAATGATACCGGACGACGGAAATTTTCCAAAAGAAAGTCGAATGACCATATCGCCCTGCCAACGCGCCCCGCCGCAGGAAAAACGGCAGTACAGAAGTCGCTGCACAGGCCCCCCTCCCACCGGACGAGCACAAAGCCGTCCGGTGGGAGGGGGGTGACAGGCGCAAAACCAGCTCAGCTCAGCAAGCAGAGAGAAAAAAGACGAGGTTGTGGCGAATGTGGGTGTCCCCCATGAAGAGAAAGTCGATGTTGTTCATCCCCTGCAACAAACTGTTCTGATAAGAGGGCGAAGTTTTTTTTTTTAATCTCCCGAATGCAACCAGCTTGATGGCTGGATGCCGACGGTGATGGAGGGAAGGGAAGGTGAATGTGTCTCCATGCGTCAATCAGACATGCCATCAGCCTTTTATTTATCCGCTAATCTAGAACAATGGTACCCCCATTTTTGCCTGAATTTCTCCACCCCTGGTAAAGCGATTGTATTTAACGTATGTTTAAATGAGGTGGATCCCGTATGTTGAAATGGCCGGGGCGGGCCAAGGAGAACCTTTCCCGAGGTAGTAAGTATGAAATACCTGGAACAATCATCCCAAAACCACCGTCATATTTTTCAGCGGGGTAGGGCTCGACCACCCAGCTAGTAGATTCCCACTTGATGGCCGATTGAGAGCCCAGGAACTGGTTGGACCTCACCGTGGTTCTCTTCTCCTTCATGGAACTGCTGGCGGCTTCAATCCCGGGCAGTTCCACAGGGACTTGGACTGTTGTCGAATGCATATAACATATAATTAACTATATATAGCTTATATTTTATATATATATATATATACTTTTTTTATTATATATAGATATATATGTAATCATGTATATATATTAAATATATATAGCTTTATTTATATACAGTATACATATAAATATATATATATATATATATTGTGCAGAGAAATGCTCCAAAGAGATCCCAGTCCACATTGCCGGATCCTTTGTTTGGCCTGAATCCGGCAGTATGTCAGTGCTTCTGGCATCCTTAGGTAGCAAGATTTGCATACTACTACTACTAATACTACTACTACTACTTCTACTTACTAGTTCTACCACTACAATCACCAATACTACCACCACCACTACTGCTGGCTACTGCTACTGCTACTGCTACTGCTACTGCTACTACTACTACTACTACTTCTACTTCTACTTCTACTTCTACTTACTACTTCTACCACTACAATCACCAATACTACTGGTACTACTACTACTACTGCTACTACTACTACTACTATTATTTGAATTCCTGCTACTAACGCCAGGATTGTGTTCCTAGCCTTGCAAATATTTCTAATACTTCCTTATTCTTAGTACTACTTTTACCAGTATGTGCGCTGCTAGCACTTCTAGTACTCCTAAAATCTTGGCACAATTAATGCTAGTAGTACCTGCAAGTATGAACAGTACTACGAATACAATATCATATCTACTTCAGCTGCGTTTAGCCTTAGCGATACCCCTTGTAAATCAATATTGCGCAATGATGGTAAAATTGCTGCGAAACTGTGGTTAGCGATGGGATCTTTCCAAGTTATGTTGATGTCCTTTTCATGAACAAGGAGTTTTGACAGCCGCACATATATATATATACATATATATATATATACATACATATATATATACATATATATATATACATATATTATACATACCTGTGTGTGTGTGGATGTGTGTGCAAAGGAGATCACAATGGGAGGTTGGCAACCGTTTTTTGAAGTATAGCAAGCACTTGTTAATATCTTGTCACTATCTATCTGTTTGTCTACCTATTTCGCTATCTATTTGTCTATGTATCTACTATGACTAGATGAATGATGATGATTGTAGACAAATTATAGACGGTACAGACCCCATGGCTAATAGCCAGGTGTCATGCTTTGACAGATAGCCCTGCAGGCTTTGGCCCATGTGCTCAACCCAGCAGTTTCGCGTCTCCATCGTGCCTGCGCCGCAGCTGGGGATCCCTTGCATGTGTGCCCTGGCAAGCCAAATGCATCAGATTTCTGCATGTTACTCTCATTCAACTGATGCTTGACCATGCCTGAAACAACACCAGCTTCTACCTTTGAATCATTTTGATGCTTCTGCCACTATGTTTTCTACAAGTTGATCCAGTTGCTCAGTGCCCAGAGCATTGCCTAACATGGCCTGGAAGCTGAGGCTTCTGCCCAAGGACCCTGCCAGTGAAGACGCAGTTCTGACCGTGTCTCCCAAGGCACAGCTGGCCTCCTATAGCCATGGAGGAGGCTACATTTGTCATCAAGACAATCGCTTCAGGTGGGAGATGCTGGTCAAAGATGGCCTGAGGCAAATGATGGCGAACGATATCGTTTGAAATTGTCATTGAGTATGTATATTGAACCTATATATCTCTTCACAAGACGAGGAAAACGTGCGCTCTGCGGCAACACAAGTCCCAATGTAACTGCATATCTTCCAGCAATATATGGCTACGGCAAAATTTTAAATTTCTCCAAATCTAGAAGTCTTTCCATGTTTTCCCAGTTCCCATTACAGATGGCATTTTTTCATTGCCATGTTTGCCAGAGGGCTTCCAATCCCATAGCCACATATCTCAACCACCTCGTGTCCTTAGGCCAAGTCATGGCACGCGTTTGAACAGCCGCGAGCTGACAGCGATCCTCTATGCAAACCCGACAGATTGGGACCTGCAAGGGGAATCTTAGCAATACATAGCACGACATAGCGCGACATAGCAAGGCCAGTTGTGGTGCAGAAATGCGAAACTACAGAGAAACAATTGAATAGCTAGTGTTTGTGTGATACTAGAAATTTGAATCCCAGTCACCGTCGAATTGGATGGCCGTCCTTTGAAGGAGTACTGAGTACTGTATCACTTTCATCACCCAGCAGAATTCCTAAGGATGGTGGTGCTCTGCGGATCTATTTGGGCTCGGAGCAGTTGGAATCGGCTCCTCCTCCTGAGCATCCCAACATGGAGGTGAAGCCAACTGTTGGGACTTTGGCACCTTGGCCATGAAGGCTTGGTCGAGTCAAGGAATGGTCAAAGCTGCGGAAGTATAGCCCAGGTGAGCGGCTTTTTTCCAGTTGTCACATGCGACATTTGCTGTATCTATCTACAGACACAGCACATATCAGATCAATGATATAAGACGACATATCACTTATTATAGAAATATATATATATACACATATACATATAATGTCCCTATGGATGGATAGATAGCTAGATAGATAGACCGTCACTTTGGCCCAACATCGCAACCAACCAGCAATGGGTACTAGGTGAAAGCCCTAAGTTGTCTCAGGCAGCACTTTGTTGTCTCATCCCGGTGTGCCATGCGAAAGATGTGACACAACCATTGGAATGGAGTTGTCATTTGGTATGATCTTTACAGCACAACGCATAGGCACGCAAGCATTCTTAACATTGCAAACATTGGTTATATCCATTTGCCTCCCTAACAATCCCTGGGCTACTTTTATGGAGTTTAGCGGTGCCTTTTGGCTTTTGGTGGAATGGTATATTGTTACAAAATGAGGTTTAGACAAACCCAATTTAATCTGCAAAGATCAGCAGATGTGCGAATGATTGTGCACTTTGGCCCAAGATTGCTTTGATTTGTGTTTCAATGGCAATGGAACCCCCCCGCAAGAAGCGATCTCGCAATGATCGGGTAAGCCCTTTCTTGTCTCAGATAGCACTTTGTTGTCTCATCTCGGTGTGCCATGCGGAAGAAGTGACACAACCACTGGAATGAATTACTACATGATTTGTTATTTGGTATGATCTTTACAGCACAACGCAAAGGCACGCAGGGATTCTTAACATGGCAAACATTAGTTGTATCAAGTTATATCCATTTGCCCCCTAACAATCCCTGGAGCAACGTGAGTTTCCCACACAGTGTGTACACACTCGGGGGTCTTGTGATCGGTCGTCCTCCTCCTCCTTTTCCTCCTCCTCCTCCTCCTCAGTATCATCATCTTCCTCCTCCTCCACATCATCATTCTCAGCATCATCCTCGTCCTCCCCCTTGACATCATCATCCTCAACATCGTCATCCTCCACCTCATTTTCTGCAGCATCCTCCTCCTCCACCTCCTCTTCCGCAATATTAATTATCATCCTTTCCATCCTCCTCCTCAACATGATCATCCTCAACATCATTACCTTCCTCCTTCTTAACATCGTTATCCTCTACCTCATCATCCTCCACCTCATCTTCCGCAACATTATCCTCCTCCACCTCATCTTCCGGACCTTATTGCTTGGATTTTTCGGACCTATCCACATCGTTTTTACCATTTACAGTTTTTGATCTGACGTGGGGATACGTGGGGTGGGTTCTGGCTGGGATGGCAAAATGTAATTCCGGTACCTCGTCCGGTACCTCGTCCAAAAACCTTTCCAGAGTCATGATTCTGGTATTACATCCATATTCCATATGTCTCGGATTCCGTTACAGCAGGGCAGGGTGTGATTTCAATGTGATTAATTTCAAATTTTGTTTGTGAAAGTCATCCACTCGCCTGCAAGTGTGCCATTGGGGTTTTGGCCCTCATGAGAATGGAAACCCTTTATTCTGTTTCTTATGGGCATACCAGAAGGCAAGCTGGTGATGCTGTTTCAATGCTTGGCTAAGCTTTTGACCTGGAATTGCTTTTGGCGGTGTGCCCTTGAGATTTGACTCCAGGTTGACAGATCGTACCTTCCCATATTCTGATTCCGGGCATAGCTAAATGAAAGCTAGGAACATGATTCAAAGTTTGCAGCGACTGCGTGAAAGTCTTCCACTCTCCTCCAAGTGTGCCATTGGGATTTTATTTTTTTTGAGAATGGACACCCTTTATTTTGTTTCTTTTGGAAATACCAGAACGCAAGCTGGTGATGCTGTTTCAATGCTTGGCTAAGCTTTTGACCTGGAATTGCTTTTGGCGGTGTGCCCTTGAGATTTGACTCCAGGTTGACAGGTCGCACCTTCCCATATTCTGATTCCGGGCATAGCTAAATGAAAGCTAGGAACATGATTCAAAGTTTGCAGCGACTTCGTGAAAGTCTTCCACTCTCCTCCAAGTGTGCCATTGGTTTTTTTTTTGAGAATGGACACCCTTTATTTTGTTTCTTTTGGAAATACCAGAACGCAAGCTGGCGATGCTGTTTCAGTGCTTGGCTAAGCTTTTGACCTGGAATTGCTTTTGGCGGTGTGCCATTGGGATTTGACTCCAAGTTGACAGGTCGCACCTTCCCATTTTCTGATTCCTAGCATAGCTAAATGCAACTAGGGACATGATTCAAAGTTTTCAACGACTTCGTGCAAGTCTTCCACTCTCCTGCAAGTGTGCCATTGAGATTTTAGTTGTTTTTTGAGAATGGACACCCTTTATTTTGTTTTTTGGGAGATACCAGAACGCAAGCTGGCGATGCTGTTTCAATGCTTGGCTAAGCTTTTGACCTGGAATGGCTTTTGGCGGTGTGCCATTGGGATTTGACTCCGAGTTGACAGGTCGCACCTTCCCATTTTCTGATTCCTAGCATAGCTAAATGCAACTAGGCACATGATTCAAAGTCTGCAACGACTTCGTGAAAGTCTTCCGCTCTCCTGCAAGTGCGCCATTGGTTTTTTTGTTTTTTTGAGAATGGACACCCTTTAATTTGTTTCTTTTGAAAATACCAGAATGCAAGCTGGTGATGCTGTTTCAATGCTTGGCTAAGCTTTTGACCTGGAATTGCTTTTGGCGGTGTGCCATTGAGATTTGACTCCAAGTTGACAGGTCGCACCTTCCCATATTCTGATTCCGGGCATAGCTAAATGCAACCTAATAACATGATTCAAAGTTTGCAACGACTTCCAAACATGATGCATCTGAGCCGCTGTGCCTTGGGGATTTGACACCTGGGGTAACTACTGTCTGCCCTGGGGTAACTCGGTGTGCCTTGCGGTTGGGGTAGCTAATGGGTAAATGGGGTAACTTAGGGCGTCTGCTAGTAGGACCTCAGCTAGTTCCGCTCAGGTCGTTTTCTTCTCAAGGCTTTGGCATGAAGTGTTGCCTTCTGAACGGCTGCGGCGGGCATTGACCCTTTGGATCTTGCGACCTGAAGAAGAGGATAGCTGGATTCCAACGGCTTTCTGAGGGTCAAGCCACTGGTGGCTATCAGGTGCTGAATGCGGTGCTCCAGGTCCAGCACAATGTTTTCTGCAACATTCCCAAGCGCGGCCCGTCGGCAACATTCTAGGACGCTCTGCGCATTGAGAAGAAGCGACACCACGACAACTGGAGGAACTATAGGAGAGGAGGTTGATTGGTTTCAAGCCGAAATCATGAAGGACTCTACAGATACATGGGCTGGAACCTTCGAACATTGACGATGGATGACGATGGTATTTTCTGAATCATGCATTTCTCGAATGAATTGTTGTATGCTTCCTGCATGTCACAGTGTGGCGAAACTGCTGCCACATGCTGCTATGAAACTGCAGCCAACATCCAGTTGGCACAGTGAATTTAAGCCTAGAAGAAATTACAACAAGCTCGGCAAAAAGAGATGGAAAAGGAACATATGTCCAGGCCTGTGATGCAACTCATTGGCTAAGAATTTCTTCATCTCGAGCCCTTGTAGCTCCTTATAAGCTTTAAGAGGTCAACGATATTCAACGATGTTTTTTTTCCTCTTTTACATAATAGGTATATTATCCCCCATGTATAGCTCACTATAAAGTGGACATCCTTTGCGCTTATAAAGTGGGTTTCCGGTCGCCACTTTATATACCGACAATGGGGGATAAAGCCGTGTTTTGCGCGAGAAACATGCCCTTGGACCTGGAAGATGACTTTATAGCAACGTTGGCTTTCCAGTTTATACCCGGCTGGTTCCCCACAAGGAAACGACTCAATATATGCGGCAATGCATTTTATAGACCGTTGGTTCCCTTCAAAGAATGGCCATAATATGTCACACCATCCACTTTATAGAAACATGTCTCCCCAATGATTTCGGGCCAATATCTTTCTGTTGGGGCTGTATACATGGCAAAGCACTTTATAGAGTGAAACTTGCCCTTTAAGAAGAAGAATTTGTGCTGCATCCAGGGCACTTTATAGAAAGAAAATTGCGGCAGAGCATTTTATAGAGTCATGAGATACATCACCCAAATCACTTTATAGAGCTGCCCAGGACCCCATTCACCCTGAGGACCCCTTTCAAGGGAAATCTTCTTCTCTATAAAGTGGCCAGTCCAGGTAAAACCCCTGAAAAAACAGAATCTATGTTGGACTGGCCACTTTATACCCCCTCCCCCAACAGAGAATGCCTCTATAAAGTGGCCAGTCCAGGTAAAACCCCTGAAAAAACAGAATCTATGTTGGACTGGCCACTTTATACCCCCTCCCCCAACAGAGAATGCCCCTATAAAGTGGCCAGTCCAGGTAAAACCCCTGAAAAAACAGAATCTATGTTGGACTGGCCACTTTATACTCCCTCCCCCAACAGAGAATGCCTCTATAAAGTGGCCAGTCCAAGTAAAACCCCTGAAAAAACAGAATCTATGTTGGACTGGCCACTTTATACCCCCTCCCCAAACAGAGAATGCCTCTATAAAGTGGCCAGTCCAGGTAAAACCCCTGAAAAAACACATTTTTACCTGGAATGGCCACTTTATACCCCCTCCCCCAACAGAGAATGCCTCTATAAAGTGGCCAGTCCAGGTAAAACCACTGAAAAAACACATTTTTACCTGGAATGGCCACTTTATACACCCTCCCCCAACAGAGAATGCCTCTATAAAGTGGCCAGTCCAGGTAAAACCCCTGAAAAAACACATTTTTATCTGGAATGGCCACTTTATACCCCAGCCAGTGGGCTCCAGGACTTTGACCCGGAAACGGAAGGACTGACAACAAGGTAAAGGGGGAAAACTACAACGGAGAGGTACAACGGGAAGGCTACCACAAGAAAATGAGACATGTCACGTTTATATACGTTTATTGTTTTCAATGTGTCATATAGATTGGCGATGATTGGTATATTGGATATGTTGTAGATGTATTTTGGAACATATGTATACCTATGATTCACACATCAATATAAATATATATAAATCATAAACACATGCCAAACCAAAAACTTTTAGCTGAGTATTGTATTCCCAATCTGTTGGCAAATGTCCAGCCGATTCACCATGCGTGACCCAACAAGATTCAAACTATGGATTGTTTACTTTTGAAAAAAAATACTGGGTGAATCTACGTATACCTATGACGACAATCTCCCAAAATCATCCTAAAAATCTATGGACATCTATGGACCAAAACCACGGCCACATGCCCATCCTCTATAAAATGGTTTGCAAGAAAGTTCAGCTCTATAAAGTGGCTTGATCACGTCATTTCTGGCAGCCCCACCCTCTGTATAAACTGGCCGGTCCATGCCCATCCTCTATAAAATTGTTTGCAAGAACCAGTAAAAAAATATTTTCGAAAGTAAACAATCCATAGTTTGAATCTTGTTGGGTCACGCATGGTGAATCGGCTGGACATTTGCCAACAGATTGGGAATACAATACTCAGCTAAAAGTTTTTGGTTTGGCATGTGTTTATGATTTATATATATTTATATTGATGTGTGAATCATAGGTATACATATGTTCCAAAATACATCTACAACATATTCAATATACCAATCATCGCCAATCTATATGACACATTGAAAACAATAAACGTATATAAACGTGACATGTCTCATTTTCTTGTGGTAGCCTTCCCGTTGTACCTCTCCGTTGTAGTTTTCCCCCTTTACCTTGTTGTCAGTCCTTCCGTTTCCGGGTCAAAGTCCTGGAGCCCACTGGCTGGGGTATAAAGTGGCCATTCCAGGTAAAAATGTGTTTTTTCAGGGGTTTTACCTGGACTGGCCACTTTATAGAGGCATTCTCTGTTGGGGGAGGGGGTATAAAGTGGCCAGTCCAACATAGATTCTGTTTTTTCAGGGGTTTTACTTGGACTGGCCACTTTATAGAGGCATTCTCTGTTGGGGGAGGGGGTATAAAGTGGCCAGTCCAACATAGATTCTGTTTTTTCAGGGGTTTTACCTGGACTGGCCACTTTATAGAGGCATTCTCTGTTGGGGGAGGGGGTATAAAGTGGCCAGTCCAACATAGATTCTGTTTTTTCAGGGGTTTTACCTGGACTGGCCACTTTATAGAGGCATTCTCTGTTGGGGGAAGAGGTATAAAGTGGCCAGTCCAACATAGATTCTGTTTTTTCAGGGGTTTTACCTGGACTGGCCACCTTATAGAGAAGAATATTTCCTTTGAGAAATTCCTCAGGGTGAATGGGCTCCTGGGCGCGCGCCGCGCTTCAAAATTGGAGCCATTTTGGCGCGCGCGCGGCGCGACCAGGACCCCTTTCACCCCAAGGACCCCTTTCAAAGGAAAGTGTGTTAGAGGCATTCTCTGTTGGGGGAGGGGGTATAAAAGTGGCCAGTCCAACATAGATTTTGTTTTACCATAGATTCTGTTAACGACTTCGATATAGATATTTGTCTGGCTATCGGTTTCGTTCGGTTTCGTTCGGTTTCAAAGTCATTCGAAGTCTTTTGGGTTCCCCATCGATGAGATCGATGATATTCCCCCCAAGGTTTGAACGTGGCCCCTCAACTTTATAGACAATCATGTCCATGCTGCCATCGTCGCGATTAAGAAAATCATCGCTACTACAACGATCGTTGTTTAGCCGGAAATCCACATTATAGTGCCACTGTTCTGCACAAGTATTACTATCTGGATGTTCGGCATCTCACTTTATAGTCATGGGACATGTTCACAAGTACCCTCAAAAACTTGCATCGAGTTTTATGTTTTTACGCGGCCAGGCGACTTTATACAAACGTTGGATTTTGACTTTATAGACAAAACATGTTGGCTTTCCACTTTATAGACTCCAGACATGTGGCCATTCCAGTTTATACCAGGCTATTCTCTATAAAGTCGGCCGCAAAGCATCTAGCGGGCTATACATGGGGGATGGTATATTGGCTTCCATGCAATTCCATGGCCGAAGTAGATATTTTGCAAACTGGTTCTTGGATGATGCTGTCACCTCGGCTCCGCTCGACTTTGCGACAGATGAAGGTGAAACAAAAGAGCCATAGGTCTACAGTGGCAAGTGCAAAGACATGTTTTCGAACGCCCAGCTACACAGACGCTTTGATGCACATTGAACAGCAAGAATCAATAAACTTATGTAAAAATTTTAGTAGCCAAAAAATATGTTCATACCATAGCATTGAAAAGTGTTTGAACGTCCGTCCTGAAGCGTTGCAACAGGGGCGTCAGAGGCTGGCACACCAGATTTTGGAGTCTTTGCATATACGTAGATGTTATGGTTTGATCGTGTTGATCTGAGAAAGCTTATGAAATCAGCTATCACTTGGTAAGAGGTTTCCCTTTTTCCCATCATTGAAGGTTTGATTCATGCGAGTCTCGTTCCTCAATGACACTGCTTGTTCTGTACCCGGCGAAGTGAGCTGCCAGGTGGCATTATGTATCTTGGCAGTGATTGATGCCAGGTCTCATTACCCATAGGATCCATGTATGGTGTATATATATATGTATATACTAACATTGGGGGTATATTGATGGTAAATGTTACCATATATGGCATACATGGATCCTATGGGTTATGCTATGGTCATCTATGGTCTGTTTGCATCATCCAAGGCCGATATGGCACGACTCGCCATCCAGGTCCTGCTGGAAACGGGGGCAAACTGCGTCAGCCTAGGTGTCAACAATGAAATGAATCCCATTGCAGCCGGTGGCAAGATGATAATCCATTATATATATATATTGAATTTATTTAATGAAGTTTAATGAGGCATGCCCAAATCGAAAACATTCATAACCAAACCCAGCTTTACCAGTTTGGATAGTTGGGAGTTCTTAAAAACATTATAAATTATACCATACTATACCATAATATACCCAGTTTGGGGTTTTCCAACTTAAAGAAAACATGTTTCCCATGACCAACCGACGCTACAAGCTCTCCAGGTCTCCCCGCCGCCGCTCTCGGTCTCGTGGAAGGCCGTGGTAGATGGCACATGGGTTGATATGAATAAGATATTGGCATATATTAATACGTATGATATTACTGTATGATCTAATCTTATAATATTATGAATATATAATGTATATGTGTGTATATTATGGATTTCAAAGTTTACCGAAGGGCACCGGGCCATCACACCTCCTGGTGGACAGTCGAAAGCGCGGCGTAAGATTAGTGGAAACAACATCCTGAGCAAATTCCAAGTTAGCTCACATCACATGCAACAGGATCATGCTTCCCCTAACTCTCCATGCCGCCACTCACGGGCCATCCCTCAGACGAATCGCAGGAATGACCGCCGCAGTGCCACTTGGACGTATGAGAGGGTCATTTGGAGCTAATTTGCGACTCCGTTTTAGCTGGAGCAGCATCATTGGCAAGACAACCATAATCTAAGATTATCAAAGATGTTGAAAGGTCTCTTGGTGAAAGCGGGGCCTCCCGAAGTTTGCCCCAATGAGTCTGGTAGTCTGTAGCCAGTGACCAAGGACTCCCGCGGACGCGGCGGGCGAAGCAATGACAGGTGCAAGAAGTTGCCATGATGTCGTGTGTGTGGTTTGTCCCATTCTGGTGCTACCCCAAAGGCATCAGCACACAATAATTCACAAACTGGACCTAGCATACTAGCAGCTAGGCTGAATCTGACTGACAAATGGATGGTTGATATATAAGAGATATGAAAAGCATACAATTTAAGAATATTTAAGATATTCAAGGATGTAATGTAACATAATATAACATAATATAACTTCCTTAAGCACCCTGACAAACCTGCGAAATTCTTCGGGTCAACGCCAAAACCTCAGGTATTTGCAGAAAATCAAGAAAACCACGGTTTTCGACTGAAACCCTCGGTTTTTATTTTCAAACCCGTACTTTTCCCATGCTCAACCCGTACTTAACCGGTGCAGAACCCGTACTTTACCCGTACTTTACCCGTACTAACCCATACTTTTACAATCTTTTACAGGGGTGAATGTTAAAATAAAAGGACCGGATAACCCCACAAGTCAACTTCTTCCAATAATGAGCCAGAAATGTTGTAGCGGGGACGGGGAAGGAAGGAAAGACAAAGGAGGAGGTGGAGGAAAGATGGTGTGTGACAAAGTTGCGTGTGAAAGATGATGTGTGTGAAAGATGGTGTGCGAAAGATGGTGTGTGACAAAGCTGTGTGTGAAAGATGGTGTGTGAAAGATGGTGTGTGACAAAGTTGTGTGTGTGTGTGAAAGATTGTGTGTGACAAAGTGGTGTGTTAAAGATGGTGTGTCAAAGATGGTGGGTGACAAAGATGTGTGTGTGAAAGATGGTGTGTCAAAGATGGTGTGTCAAAGAGGGTGTGTGAAAGATGGTGTGAGAAGTGGAGCTGTGATGGGTTGTGATGTGATAAGTGAGGTGTGAGAAGTGAGGTGTGAGAAGCGGAGCTGTGACGAGTTGTGATGTGATAAGTGAGGTGTGAGCAGTGGTGTGAGAAGTGGAGCTGTGATGAGTTGGGATGTGATAAGTTGTGATGAGTTGTGATGAGAAGTTGTGATGTGATAAGTGAGGTGTGAGAAGTGAAGCTGTGATGGCTTGTGATGATGAGTGGAGCTGTGATGAGTGGATGAGTTGTGATGAGAAGTGGACCTGTGAGAAGTGATGAGAAGTGGAAGTGTGAGAAGTGGAGCTGTGATGAGTTGTGATGAGCAGTGGAGCTGTGATGAGTGAGGTGTGAGAAGTGGAGCTGTGATGAGTTGGGATGTGATAAGGTGTGATGAGACAGTGATAAGTGGGGAGTGAGCTGTGAGAATGGTAAGTGAGAAGTGATGAGTGAGATGTGATAAGTGGTGCGTGATGAGGGGTGAATGATAAGTGGCGCCTGCCACGCGAAAGCAGCCGCGGCCCCAGCGCCGGCCACGCGCGCCGCAGCTCGTCCAGGAGGCTCTGTGTACTGCGCCTGCCACGCGAAAGGCAGCCGCGGCCCCAGCGGCGGCCACGCGCGCCGCAGCTCCTCCAGGAGGCTCTGTGTACTGCGCCTGCCACGCGAAAGGCAGCCGCGGCCCCAGCGGCGGCCACGCGCACCGCAGCTCCTCCAGGGGGCTCTGTGTACTGCGCCTGCCATGCGAAAGGCAGCCGCGGCCCCAGCGCCGGCCACGCGCGCAGCAGCTCCTCCAGGAGGCTCTGTGTACTGCGCCTGCCACGCGAAAGGCAGTCTGCTGACCACGGAGCTGTGATGAGTTGTGCTGTGATGATATGATGAGTGAGGTGTGAGAAGTGGAGCTGTGATGAGTGGTGATGTGATAAGTGATGTGAGAGGTGAGGATGTGAGAAGTGAGGTGTGAGAAGTGAGCTGTGAGGAGTGGAGCTGTGATGAGCCGCTGAGTGACTGAGTGACTGAGTGAGTGAGTGAGTGAGTGAGTGAGTGAAAGGCGGAGGAGGCGGCGGAGGAGGAGGATGCGGGAACCCCCCGGCGGGATCCAAGCGAAAAACAAGAACCCCACACAGTGATGTGGGGAAAAAAACGGTTATTTTTCCACACCCCAGGAATTCTGCGGGTTTGGAAGCTCAAGGTTTGTCATTGTTTGCGGGAATCTTTGGCCATGCAGCAGAAGTCCCAAGGGATCAGTGGCGGCAGGCGCTCCAGAAGCCCGGAAAAGAAGGAACCTGGACCAAGAGGCTTGTGGCATTGCAGACTCTTTCCAAGCGTGCCGTACTCTTGGGTGTAGCCGTAGCCGTCCAAGAAACAGAACAAACAAACATTTGAATTGCGAGAGTAATCACAAAAATCTATACATTTACAACCCATGAATGGTGTCATGCTACGCCAAAGCCATATTCGATGTCATATAATTATAATTAAATCAAATTAACAATTTAAATTTAATAAACATTATATGGAAAACTGAGCGTTCCAGGCTCCACTTGCCCAGGTGGTGTTGTCATCGGCAACCCTGGGGAGACAGAGCCACCTACATATGACGTGGAACAGGTGGGTTGGAGGCCCCAGCCGACAGCTGGGTTCCCCACCAGGGCCATCGGGGCCAAGAGCAACTGAGGCAAGAAACACAACGGGGACCCGACGTGGCAGGTGGATCCCGGGCAGAGCTGACGCAGAGCTGACTTGGGTGGAGATCTTTGGCATATTCCATCAATATAAAGGAACTGCAGGACCATCGTAGGATATTGTAGGGCTTAAAAGGGACATTGTACTGCATGGTTCTTTGGAGAAATTTCCTGGAGATTTCTTTTGAACTTTTCGGGGAACTTTCTCGAGGGGGTTTAAAAGGAACTCCCATGAGGGATATTGTTTGAAACTTCCCGATTCTTTAAGGAACTTCCCCGATAGACTCTTGAAAAAAGTACAGTATCTCGCAGATTTGTTGCTGGAATTTTCCCGAGTTTTTTGGCGGGGGAGGGCCCAACTTCTTGGGTGGATTGTTTCGGGAGCTTCTTCGGGGATTTTTTGTAGGGAACTTTAACAAAAATTGACTCAGGATACTTGTTTGGAACTGCAAGGAAACATCCCCGGAGATTTTTGGTAATTTGTTGATTTGTTTTCGGGGACCTTCTTTGGTGACCGCGTATTACAATATAATTTTGATACCTAAATTAGAGTATACGGGAAGTATTTATATAATGCATTTGCTGATTGTATTTTTCATTTCTCACACCTTCCATTAGCACCTGCATACGTATCAGGCTGTCCTGAACATCAAGGGCCAGGGCGGCCGCAACTCAGCTTAATGGGCCTCTTGCGCACACATTTGACCCTTCTACTGTGCCATTTCAACTGAGCAGTTCCCACCAAAGTCGCAGTCTTAAAGACCAACACAGGGGGTTGCAAGGCCTTTCCAGTTGCAACATGTTGGGTCAACCGTAGGGGTTTGCCGAAGCAAACAAGGTTTCTGAGCTCGTGACCATTGGGTGGGGTGGGGGGGGGTTGGGGGGTTGGGGGGTGGGGGGGAGTAATAACGTTCAGGCAGCTTGCGTTCCATAGAACTCATTATCCAACATTGGAATAGCTGTCCGTGGGGTGTGGGGGGGTGGGGGGGGTTGGGGGGGTGGGGTGAAGAGGGGCCCTAGCGTCTACTTCAAGATCAGCTAAGGCGTCTTCCCCAATGACAGCACTATTTTACTCTCAGCCTGTTGCCGGTCAGTGCTTGTCCACAGGGTTACTCTATATACCTCTTGAGCCTTGAAGGGCGCATATAAATGTGCTCAATACTCATGCATGTACCTCTGTAGATATTAGGTCGAAACAAAAACATGGGGGGGAGTAATAAGGTTCAAACAATTCATCGAACAATAGCACCAAACATTCGAACAATTCATCGAAACTCAACATGGCTCCGAAGGAAATCTAATTATGCTGTTCCAATAAAACACACAACTTTATTTCTCTTTCCAACAAATAACAAATTCAAAAATCCTGCTAATTTTTTCCGCGGGATCCCGCGAAAAAAATCTTGTTCGCAAAACATGAACCTGGTTCAAACAATCATCCCTTATCATGCAAACATCTTGCAAATGCTAATGTGAAACCAATGAAAAACACTGAAAATACCATGAAATTTCCTCCTACTAAACGGCTGCGGATGGACATACATGATCTTAACATGTTACCCTTCTTGCAAACTCATTCCGACTCTCGGCAAACCCCCCCGGCAAACCCAACATGTTGCAACTAGGTACCGGCCCTTTCCACAGCGTGATTCGCGAAGAGCATGCCACAGCCATTGGAATCAATGTGAATTTGGACCGTCAATTTGCAACCAGAACCTGGTTTCTTTCCAGATCTTTCCAGCAATTTCGGAGTTCATCTCATGATTCAAAATCGGTTCGCCACGGCATCCATAGCCAACCATTCACTGCCCTTGTCTCAAGCTTGCAACTGCTCAATCCACACTCGTCCCACCCCCACTTTTCGTTACCTTTCAGTCATGCCGGAGACTATGGAGATCAGCGACGCAGCAAAGTCGGGTGATGGCACCACTCAAAATGTTGGGATCAAGGTTAGTGCCAGCTTTCAGTGCGGTGAATGCCGTCAGAAGTTCGATTCTGATAAGGCCAAGCAGTTGCACTGGAAGTTCATCCATGACCCAAACCGGCACCAAGAGGATTGAGCACTTGCCAGGCAAGGCTTTTTTTTAAGGCCATTCAGATCCCTTCAGGCCAAAAGCATTGACATTTGCCCACCTTTTAAAGGGCATGAAGTCTGCAGACGTTGCTTTTGAGTGCTTTTGGCACCAGCTCTGCGACAAGCAGTGACGACTGACAAGTGGGCATGCATAGCGGGCTCGGGCTAGAGAAGATGTCCTGGCACCGCCCTGCGTTCTGAGCAGTTTGCTGCGAAGAACAAATGGCCAAAGGAAAAACAATAAAGTCCAATTTTGCAAATTGGATTTGGGATAATTTGGGTGTGTCAGAAAATGCAGATGCGCCCATTGTATGACCATTTGATCATATGATTCACGATGATTAATCAGTCGGTTTGGTGTATCCGGTATATAAAATGTCAGTACCGGATTAATAAACGCCGCTGTTCAATTGAAGAGGGACACCATCATGATACCATCATGATACCATTATGATACCATTCTTGGATTCTTGGTAGGAAATGATCACTTTGGATGCCCCCCAATCCACTCGGGTCCGTGGCCAAGGTATCAGGTCATTGAGGGCTCCACCACGATCCAATGAGGCCAAGACGATGGCGTCGGCGTCGTGGTGTTTCCTGCGTTGTTCCTGCGTTGTTCGTTCGTTTGCTAGGATGATGCCCGGGACGATGGGGAGGAAATGAAGGATTGCTTCATGACTCTTGGATTGTTACCCGGAGCTTATATGGAGCTTAAATTTGCTTAATGGGTGTTGATAGTAATACTGCATACTGCATTACTGTATTGGATAAATGTGTGAGATTGTGTGCATAGATGATGCATAGATGATGCATAGATGATGCATGTGTGTTTTATAATTATATATATATATACAGTAGTATATATTTATATTATATGCGTGTGTGCGTGTGTGTGTGTGTGCGCGTGTAGAGAAAGAGACGATAGAGATGCCATTGGGCAACTTATAACGACCTCGCCCGGATCACCAGCAGTGATCGATAGTAGGTGTATCATCAACCATCCTCGAAGCCAGAGCTGGCCAGAGCTCAGGAAGCACGGCATGCAGGGCCTGAGAGAGCTGCAGCAGAAGCAACGAAGGAGCCGAATCAGCGGGGCAGCAAAGACTCGTCCTTTTCGGACACGCTGTGGACTTCAAAAGGGATGAAAATGATAGGAAAATGATAGGAAAATATTTGGACAATCGAACGGGCTTGGTAACACAATGTCCGATGGATTTGCTTCTCCTGAACCCCGCCTCGATGGAGAGGTGGATACTTGTCGGGTAACCAGATGCGTGCAGATTCTAGCTTTGTATAATGCTTTGTATAATTTTGTATATGTTCGTCCCGACTTTTACCCTTACTGGTAACTGTCAGGTCTGTGCGAGTTGTTCAACGCATGCTCACTGTTTTGATCATCAACAACTCTGTTTCCTGCAGCAAAAAATTCTGAAAGTTATCCTGAGATATCCTGAGTTTATGATATCCATATTCATAGTCCGATTGATATAGGGTTCAGATCATGTTGTAGAGATTGGTTGCGATTGAACTGGTAGGACTCAACAGGTTCAACATAAAACGAGGAAGTCCCAGAATTCAATCTCCTCACTTCAAGAAAGGGATCTGACCTGTTTCTAGATCCTTCTTGCTACTGTCCCTTTGGAAAGTGCCACTGCCAAACAACTCCCAGATGTTTTCAGTCCGTGGGGCCATTCTGCGCCTGAGGCTGAGCTGTGACTGAGAACGGGGTCTCTGAACGGCACAGGTGGGGTGAAAACAAGGGCAGTCCGGACACGGGGCAGTCACATGGGACGTATTACTCTCAGAGTTGCTACCAGACTGACTGGACCTGAACGATCCAATTCAACAACCTGCAACTAGAATCCCCCGCTTCTTTCCCTCCTGTACTTGTGCACAATAGATGGGAATTGAATGCTATTTAGTTCTACTTTATTTTTGGACTGCCAGTTCCTCAGGAGTAGCTCAGAGGCTCTCAGAGGGCACCTGGTTCATTAAAAAAACTGTAGCCTGCGAGGCGTATGGCTATGGCCTCCATTTTGAGAGGCTTTCGAGCATGATTCGGGGGAACAACTTCCCTGCAGATTTAAAGATGCAACTTGAGAGCACGTGTTTTGCGTGCCACAGTGCGGCAAAGTTGAACATCCACCAGGAGCCACCTGTTCCAGCACACATCGGAACTAGGATAGAAACTCATATATAATTACTGTAAAGGAGATAATCGGCCATACACCCACCCAAAAAAAAGATATGCAAACTGATCAAACTGCATTAAACTGTAAGTTGGTTTTAGTTGCCGTTTTCTTCGCAAAATCTGCTGAATGCTCAGAACCTGCGGCGGCCGTATGAAGCAACATGCTTCAGCTATTAGCAGCAAAAGACTGACATGGGATCGGCGTGAAACAATGATCGCTTGCGTTGGAGTGCAGGTATTTGTCCACTGTTGAGACTGCTGAGGTTCTTCAATGATTGAAATGAATTCAGCCGAGACTAACTGCAAAATACAGGCAACGCCTTCATTCACAAAGTACATACCCTATTGACATTGCACTGTACGGCCTTGATCTACATGTTCGAAGAACAATTGCAGTTTCATTGCTCCGTACATGTTTTAACACGCTTTGGTTTCGCCAAGTGTGGGCGTGCATTCTCACTCATCTCACTCTGTGGGGTCTGGATTCGAGTCAGTGGCCAGCACATGTCGGGCATGTTGGATTCTCTCACTCCTTGAGCTCGTGCATCATGGCTGCAGTAATCTCAACTCCGACAAATCGACGCAGGCAATGAATCCTGAGAAATCCTGAGAGTGTGAGAGCCCGGACAAGGAGTAGTTATGACATATTATGAACTGAATTTTAGGAGTCCCCACAGCAGGTGTATGGATCACCGCACATCACCGCACTACGGTTGAGCAAGGTGTCTCACAGGTTTTTCATTTGAAGTATGACCATGATGGCCGTCATAACAATTCTCCAGGAGAAAGTGCAGATTGATAAATACTGAACAATTCATATAACATTGTATAAGTTAATTAACCATATATAACCATATATAACCATAATACTGGTTATTAACATTATATAACCATAATTAACCTCCAGAAAAGGGCACCAGAGAGAGATTCAACGACAGATCCTCCCTGAACTTTGCCAGCAGAGAACGGCCGCTGCAATGGCACCTGGTTGAACATGGCGATGGATGGAAGCGACACATCGAGCCCATCGAAGGGCTCCAGTGCCGTCCGCAGCGCGGACAGCATTTTTGTAGGAGATAGAGATTCACGGAGCGACGGAGTGAAATTGTTCAATATATGGGTATGGATCAATACCTATTAATACCATTTTTAGGGGGATGAACATCCATTTACCAGCTATTTTGATGTTCACCAGGGGTACAAGGTTTTCACACACTGCCATATTGTTCAATCATGTTCAAGTTTGGATGGTTGAAAGCAATCAGTGACGTGTTCATGGATTGTTCTGTTACATGGAACGTGAACGTAGGTAATCGATGGCAATTATACTGTTGGTAAGTGTGACCTCAAAACATGGCATTGTTTTCATCAGGGAAAGGGCAGCGACGCAAGGCATGCGCTTCTACAACTTCAACATGGCCAACAGCGCTGCGCCCCCCGGCAATGCAGAAGTTGGAATGACATGGCAAGATTAAAACAAAGGCCATTACTTAAAGGATCTTAAAGGTCACTCAAATGCGGCCATTGTATCAAAGGCCTAAGTGACCATTTGCGCTGACGGCTGCCGCAGCTCCCAGTTGGCCCAGGTTTGAAGGCCTTCATCACTTGCAAGGCACGACTGGACGGTGCTTGGAAGACTGGATCCAGGCACGGGGTTGCGGAGGATGGAGATGAGAAGCAACTGAAATATATTGGATACTACTGGTAGATTATAATCCGGTAACGTTCAATGGCTTGATAATAGGCTTATTTTGACTGGCTCATTGTGACATTCTGCCGATGGTGCACAAAAGGAGAACCCTGACTCTTTCGAGATTTTTTCACAGCACCGATGGGACATCCCATGCTTATCCAATGGGACATGTCGTCCCAGGAGCCATTTTCTGATGGTCAATCCTGCGATGCAGTGTTCTTGACCTTCACAGAAACGAGGCTCAGACATTGCTAAATACTGCCGATCAGCAACATGTGAATAGTTTGAATTGATTGGATAATTAGCAATGTATATCAATAATTAGCAACATGAGTACAAACTAATCAGCAATTACATAAATTTGAATTGAATAGTTTGAATTTGTGCTAGTATTGCTGATGAAAAATGATGTGCAGTGGGGATGAGGTGGTTTTCAAGGTGGAGGTGCCTTTTGAACCGTTTGCCACCGTCATAAGCAAACATTTTGACTAAGTTGCTGTCAATTGCATTTGGTGACGTCGGCGAGCCAGAGCGTCATTTTTGGAGTCTCTCAGCATGTGCCCGCTACTTACATGTCTTAGATCTAAGAGAGGGAAAAGCACAGTGTTTTAAGATTTTGAAGGGCGTTCCGCTTTGACACACCACACTCACTTTGCATATAAGCCATGGTAGCTGTGGGGGGCACCAGCAGTGATGCTTGCGCTGGAGGTTGGCGCTGGGTCCATGGGTACGTGAGTACCGAAATAATCCCAACTCAAAATTGGACTGCGCCACATATCAGCACCTTGGCGGCTTATCCCGGCAGACAGAACCGACCGACAGGGCCCCATAGGGCTTGACATGATTTGACATGTGTAGCACACAATGTTTGAAGGTTGAATCATGAATCGATGGCTTGTAGTGTGCTGTTTGATGTCGATTGAATATGACTTGAATGCATAGGGCACATGAGTGGGCTCACCATGCTTTGGACAGTTTGAGACATTTTTCAGAAGATTGATGAACAGAACCGCGGCCATAGCCTGAATTGTCTCTTTTCCGACTCACGCTGACTATGCACAAATGACCCATGTGACCCGAGGAATTCCGTAAAAGAAGCCGAAATGAAGCTCAGCCAGTGTGAAGTGCTAGGGTTCAGAGAGTAGCAAGGTAGTACTCTTACTTACATACTTGTACTATACATTATATATATGAGCCACCGTAAAAACCCCGGCAATACTAAATATGTATTGGACGGACATTGGTTTATGGAAATGGATGGAAATTGTTAAAAACACACGGTAAGCGATGGGACCTTCCCAAATTAGCGATACCCCTTTTCAAGGTTATGTCTTTTTATTTCTCTTATATCCACATTAGCGATACCCAAATTGGACGTTGATTTCTGTGAATTATATATTTAAAAACGTAGCAGTTTCCTGCAAGCGATACCCCCCAAGTTTACCATATATCATTATTGTACAAACGTGTGGTAAGCGATGGGACCTTCCCAAATTTGTGGATGTCCTTTCCCTGAACCTAGGGTTTTCGAGATTGCTCATATATATATATATATAGTAGATACCTGATGATACACCTAGATACTAAGTAGCAACATCAATCGGGGATTGCTACCCCTCTCGGAGCCATCGATGCATGGAGTATGCAGTTCCAAGCATATCAACATGAGCTTGGCCGTTGCAATGCCATAGAATTGAGACCGGCCATAAGTGTGAAGTCATGAAGTTGCTTTGAAGTGTGTTTAAAGGATGATAGGAATATGATAGAATGATGCAGCTGAGCAGTGGGCATTTCACTTGTCATGGTGTATCCAAAACAAACCATCGAACTCTGTGTTTATTTGTGTTTAGGTCTTGGGATCCAAATCTCCGGGCTAAGCTTGTTGGTAAGACATGGTAAGATACGAGCACTTCCATGGCCTGAGGACCAATGATATGCCTTGGAGCGGAATGCTGGACGGGGTGGCTGAGAAGTACAGCGGCAATTTGAAGACGCTGTTGCTGTGTCTCGACCAAAGCCCTCACCGTAGGATTCCATACCGAGAACCAAGACAACTTCAAGCTTGACAAGACAAGATAACCAAAACGTGTTTCCCATCTTGCTTTGAACTCTCATTGAAGCTTCACTGTCGGGTCGTGAATTCAAGAGAGATTTGATCTCGCCATTTTATCGATGGCATTGGTTTTCTCATGAAGAGTTTGAAGGCATTCAAAAGGCGGACAAACAGTGACATACATGAGTTCCTAAACACACAGGCCAAACAGACACATCAGAGGTGTTCAAAGAGATACGAAGTCGCTAGCCTGTTCGGTGTCAAATGCAGTCACAACATCATTCCCAGCAATCAACGAATTCAGCTCGTCATAGTGGAAAGCCAAGGAAATCCAAATTGAGATAAGCCTCAACGAAAATTGCCACACCAACCATCAGAAGAACCAGAGATCACGGGACGGATGAAATGAGGTTTTCCCGAGCACGCTTCCGGCGCGACCCTGACATGCAACCACTCTTCGGGAGGCCAGTTGAGATGTAGCTCTTGCTGCACCTGAGACCTGTCAACAACGCTCGTGGCATATGGTATATGGTATATGTACAAACTGTCAGCATCAATTCTGTTGTTTCATGGTTGGTTTGGAGGAATGCCATCCTATGGCCATCTATGGCCCTACTCACTGTCCAAGGGGGACAAAATGGGACAAGGGTGAGCTCCACAGGCTCACAGACAAGCGCATCGGTGGAATGGTGTTGGCCTCAGATGTACCACTGTGCCACTTATGAGGCCTTCAGAAAGCCAATGTGAGACATAGTGAGACCTTCAAGATCTTCAAGCTTCTAACAGCCAAAAGTGCTCCCATAATATCCCATAGTGATATATAACGATAATATATAACAATTAATAATATAGTGGCCGCAAAAGTTGCACATGTTTCAAACAAAATAGCCGATGGTTACTTCACATGTTGAGGCTTTCCAGCTTTACTGAGGCACTGCCCAATCCAAAGAAGGCCTTTATGGGTCGCAGCCTCCTCTCGCGTCAAGATGCCTTACACATTTGCTTCGCAGGCGAGATGGACAGATGGACAGTGATTTATGTGATTTTCTTATTCTTATTTTTTTGTACTGTAACTAATTTTATGCCAATTTTCCGCTCTGATTTCATCATTTTCATCTGGCACCGGCAGGTGCACATTTTCCAATCGCGGAAATGGCTGCCGTCCTGGATCAGATCGGTGGTTTGGAGAGCGCCAAGGTCATCATGGCGAGGCGTTATGCCTGGGGTGCACCGGGCAGATTTTTTGTTGGGAAAAGGGCGGGATGATCTGGAGAAATAATTCATGTATATTAATGTAGTTTAATGTAATTATATTATGTATGGTTGACAGATGTTGACATTGGCCGATGGTTGTCCATGATTTTGATTGATTTTGAGTATTTGCAGGCGTTTGGCGGCAGCTTGCTATCCTGCCTAAAGTCTTGCCAAGTCATTGAAAGCCGAAACATGCTCAAACGTTCTTATTGTGACGCTGGTGCAGACTGAAGTGGTTCCCCAACAGCTGCTGACTGATGCCTTTTTTGCTGCTGCAGGACGCTTCGAAAGGTTTTGCGCAATGCCTTTCGTCGTGGAATCTTGTCAGACAACAGCTTGCTGGTCGTGCAAGGCTGGGGCATCTCAGCTGGCCTATTTTCGACAGGGGTTGAGCGGAATGAAAGGCTCGGGAACACTTCCCGTGGCATGAAAGCCCCAGAAGTTCCCAGAAATCAGCACAAATCAAAGAGGAATGAAGGCGAAGCATAGCAAATATTCGCAAATACTCTTTTCACATCTTTACTTTACATACATACATACACATAATATATATATATATACATATACAAGTCATATGAGCCTTACACATCCTTACCATTCCTTACCCATTTCTTCACGTTTGTACTCACCAGACTCATCAGGCGACCTCAACAGCCGAACAGTGCTTGGGCCAAAGGGCCAGGTGAAGGACATCCTCCAAGAGGTAATATCGGATCCTCACATCCAGGCGCTGGGAACATGGAAAAACGGGGTCAACCTTGGTTTATGGCCTAAGTTTGAGCCACGAATATGGGAGCATCTTGCGAATTTAGATTGTTATTGTTGTTTCTTTTCTTGATGGGAAGTCTAAGGTTAGCCATGAGCCCTCAAGATTGGACATATCTCATTGACACTGAACCTCTGGCCATCTCTGGCCTTCGCAAGGCTGCCATTCGCAACGGGGTTCCAGTAGCAGATGCTTGGCAGGAATCAGCCAGCAACAAGGATTTCTCACTGTCAGCTTTCAATAGCAGCAACTGGACTATGACATCTATGACTATGACTTCATCGGGGAGTGAATCCAATGAAGGGGTTTGTAGCTTTGGATGTTGGGGTGGCCGTTGCTTCAGCATCAGCCTTTCAGTCTTGAGAGGTCAGAGTCATCAGCCATCAGCATTATACCATCAGGATCCATCAGTGACAGGAAACGTGAATCAGAGCCATTGTCATGCAAAGATGGTGAGATACTCGTACTATTCTCGTACTAAGCTTGGCCGGCAGAATCTCCAACCCAAACTGACAGGAGCCGGGGATCCATTGAGGCCTTGTCATCCTTGTCCCATCCATCCATCGGGGGCCACCATCGGGGGCCTTATCCCAGGAAGGCGACTGGTTCGAGCCCTGTGGCGAGACCAATGCACTGAAGCTTCCGGCAGCTTGGCATCGATCTTTGCCCAGGGCATCCCAGGGCTGATTCAGGTGACCAATTTGACCAGTTGGGACTGTTCCATTCTGCAGTTGAATTTATGATCAAATGTTGACCTGACGTTTGCGGTCGCCAGCAGTGACATATGGTTGGCTTTTTGTAGGACTCAGTTGTCGTTGCAAAGGAAAGTGTGGCCAAGAGTATTTCCAGAGCGGCGCCAAAATTCCCTCAGGTTACGTACAAATTCAACTCCGAGGTCGGTTGGAACCTTAGCAAGTCCAGTGCAAGAATGCTAGACTAAAGCTTACAGTACCAGCTGGATCCAGCTGGATTCATTCACTGCAAAAGTGGAAGCTGAATTGATTTGTTGTTTTACAGGTGCACACTTCAAGGGTACCGATGGTAACTTGGACGCAGAGGACAACATAATAATAACAAACTTATTCAATGTTAACTCATTATCGTGTTTCACACAATTTGGTCCCTCCGCCCAATTCGAACGCAACAGAGTTGTTTCAAAACCCAGGCACCCCCAAACCCTCAGATGTGGTCTTCTGCCAAGGATCAGCGTTGAGCCTCGAAGGTATCTTGACAGCTGCCGCGAAACGAGAAGATGATGGAGCGTATGCCGAGCCACTTGGTGCATGGCTGGATGAGCTGACTGGGACAGGGAACCAGTCAGCTGGGGACCAGTCAGCTGGGGAGGAAACTATTTGGTTCACTCTGAAGTTCGAACGCTGGAAATGGATGAGACCGAACGATGAGATTGTGAAATCTTGAGGCGATGTATAGTATTTCCACGCAGTGTAAAAATTAGATTTGTATAGATTTGTAAAACATTCCATGACCCAATTTTCCTTGGCGCCACGGCCCCAGGACGCTGCAAAGTTTGCCTTGTCCTTAGTCTAAGAGTCCTGCAACATAGTATATCATTTGGCTACCAGTAGTTTGTTCATAAACACCTTGTGACTACTATATATCTCGAGTATGCTACATGCTAGTGACTGCTGACAAGTGTTTTCCCATCTCTGAGTTTCCACTCTGTTCTTGGATCTCAATGCTGATTTCATGTTTGAGGCCGCCTGATGTGCTGAAAAGCTGGAGTCGGAAGCCTGGACAGACTCAGGTTCTTCTAGTACTCAGGACTGCCAGATGTTTGCCACATTTGAAGGATGGTGCTGTCTAGCACAGTCACCCTGTCTTTAGAAACAGAATTGAAGCACCATAGGTATCCGATGATATCCATAGGTTTGAAGGCCCAAGGCACAGAAGCTCTTTCTAGTTCGAGATGTTCGAATTTCTCCCTCCAGGTGACTTTCAAACGCTTCCTGCTGCATGTTACGAATTGTTACGATACTTTGTACATCTTTACACGCCCTACTCAGTACCTACTCGCCCTACACATACGAGGTTTGGAGTTCAAAGAAGCCAACTTTCGCAACTTCCGCGGCTCGGTGTACACCATTGCCCTGGATGTTGGCAATGTTGGCCAGTGCACGTTGCCGAAGGATAGGAACCAGTAGATAACCAGTATGTATAGTCTTGCATCTAGCATCTATTGTTCCTATTGATTAGCACTATATAGATAGTACTAGTACAGTATAGCATAGTTTTAAACATTGCCCACTTCACCAAACTTGGCCCAACAGCTCGGAAGATTTGATGCTGAGAGATGTGAGCAGGATCCAATTGGCTCAGGTTTTCCAGCCTCTGCGGATCGCATCATTTGTTGGGCACCCTCATCCTTGGCGCGACGTTTGCAGTGGACTTTCCCACAGGGTGGTTACAAGGCACTGAAGCTGGAACATGGCACGGCCCATGGAACGTATCATTGAACATATTTAAACAATCATTTATAAACACATGATGATCATGCTGAATATTATATTTTGATATATTTGAATTTGAGTGTCTTGATCGCAGCTATGCAGCTACTGGGATGCCCAATTGGATGACAAATTGATGTGCCAAGTTGTATGGCACAGGTGAACCACCTCCAAGGAGGTAGTGATCATCGGCCGGTGAGATTGGAGGCTGGCCCTGGCAGCTTTGTCTCAAAACGGTTGAAAAGAAACAAAAACGGAAATTCAAATTGGGGGATGCGTGTCCCAATGTATACATATTGGGGGATGCCGGGGTACCCCAAGTATCTGTAAGTATCTGAATTTATGGCCCGTGATGAAAAGTTTGAACGGGTACCATGATGTACCATGGCAAATCATCACATTTGATATGATTTGGGGGTGTTTATATATACATATCGTATATATATATATACCTTGAACCTCGAACGACCCTTTTATTTTGGGGTTATTCAAAAAAATGGCATTCTTTGATAAGAGAACCTTTTTTTAATAAGTGTACCTTTTTTTGGGTTTTACCAATTATAAGGGATGAAGGGTCGTTTGAGGTTCAAGCATAGCATTTCTGGGTTATCAAGATCCAACATTAAGGGTGAAGGTCATTTGGTTCAAAGATGAAGGCTTGTTAGATAGCCTTTTTGGCCTAATTGGGCCAATCTGCCTGTGCCTTTGAAAGGCACGCCCCCCGCCCAAGCTCTGCAGAATGCCGCGGCTGAGAAAGTTATCATATGGAGATCTTGGGGTCCAGATTCATGATTGATCATGCTGATAACCTTTTGTATATCCCGGGATGTTGGCTCACAAGTGGCTCAAAAGGAAACGAAGAAACCATAGCTGATTTATATACGTTGCCCTTCTTACTCACCACTCATGAATGCATACCTGGGAAAAGATCCCGGGCTGCGCGGTGAGATGTCAACCCGAGGCAGGAACTATGGAGTATGAACATAGTTTTGTTTTTCATGAGCCCACTGTATTTAAATCACATGTGTGTGCATGATGGAGGCCTTTTGGACCTATCGGATGATTTCTGGATGGAAGTCCTCAATGTGCTGTACCCGCCGAAAGTGTGCGGCTTATATGTGGGGTATCTCTACACACCCTTCTGTATTTTTAACCCAATATCAACTTATTACATCCGTGGAAGCTAAGGCTGGTGAAATTTCAGTGGCCAGGGTCCAATCAGTGCTGGCCAATTATGATCAGGGAGGTGTGGTGGCACAGCTCGTGAAGTCCAAGCGTCAAGGAGTTATGTTTTGATTTGCTGGATACTTGAAAACATGCATATGTGTTTGACATGTAATATTCATATGTATATACACATTTTTTATCTTATGGTGGTGGCGTGTCAGGAGAAAAATATATGGTCCCTTGGTGATGCAAATATTTATATTTGATGACCCACTGGGATTCCAACATGTTTCACATTCAACATGAACCAGAGAAAATCTTTGCAGGTTTAACCACTTGAGATCAAACCACATCTACTATCCCAAGGACAGCTCTAGCTCTTTCTCCACTGACTGAGCGATTGGCCTTGAAGCCTTTGCGATTTAAATTTGATGTTAATTCATTGGACAAATGGAACCAGATGGGCAGATTGGAAAACACGATTTTCACCGACAGAATCCGACAGATATTCCGAATTGAAATGAACAATGTTCCAAAAATGAATTTATAGCTATCCACCCTTATATATTCAAATGATTTTTGGAACATTGTAGATTTCATACACTCAAGGGCCGAAAGATTTTTTCACAGGGAGCGCTTCCCACGCAGGTGCTTGCCCAGTTCTGTGAGACACTGGCATGAGATGGCCAGGCTCTTAGCCGCTTGCTGACCCTTAACTTGAATTTCGATGGTTGATGGGAAATCGTGTTCATCATTTGTGGTTTTATCAATTCTGTTGTGCCATAACCATTCAAAATCCGAAATTATGTGTTTGTAAGAAATTGTCATAGCAATGACCCCTGGGATATGCAGAACCCTGGCCCAAATCTCATCCATTTGCAGCAGCTGCAAACCCGGCCATGTCGATCAGACTCGAGGGCCTGGCAGATAGCTGGGAGGCAGAGAGTTCCATCCGCTTTTGTTCCCGGCAGACTGGGCGTTTGGTGCAGTGGCCTGATAAACCTGATGCAGTGGGAATCCCAAGTATGAGTCTTGCTGGCTATTCAGACCCCAGAAGATTTGATTCCCAAAGGGGGAGCCAATGAATAGTTTATTTACATCTATGCAATGAAATTCATAAATTGACATGGGTCTATATATCTATAAAGGGGTACAACGTATATTATATACACAGGTATTCAGCAGATATAGGTTCAGTACCAAAATATTTATCAGTCAACAAGTGTCTTTATTCAATTCAATACCACCAAAAAGCATGGTTCACTCCATTCAGGACTGCCGTGAAGATGAACATCAAGGTCCTGAAGCATGCTTCATTGCTTTGGGTGGAGATCTTTGACTATGAAGCCGCCGGCACCCCAAGGACCCCACCTCTCAGTGCGATCCACCACGAGGCGCAGACAGGGTATGCTCCTTGCAGTCAGGTGAAGGGTTTGGACCATGGGTGGCTCATCAGGTCTCACCCGGTGGGACCATGTAGATGATATATCAACACACCTGAACATATATAATATGTTTTTTATTTAAAATTATCCGACATGCCATTGGTTAACCAACGGGCTTAGAGAATGTGTGACAAAAGGTGTTAAATCTTAGGCTTAAACAATTTATTTGGTTTCAGTGCCAGGTCAAAAGGTTCTGGACTTTGATGGCGTTGGATGGTACTGCCAATGCCCCGGGCAAAATCGGCATGCATGCAGATGCATGGGGCGTGCGAAAATTGATGAGTCACTGTTTGAGATCCCTTCGGTTGGGACGTGTCCCCAGAGTACTTGGGCTAATTGGGAACCTGCATTCCATTTCATACTGGGGTTTTAATGGGATTGGGATGGTAATTTATGGTCGTTTAATTTACCTGACCCCTCACTCGCTTGCCATAAGGATGAAGGCATTGTGGAGCTCTTTGAGATCTTCCGAGTTGCTTGGTGCTTGGAGGTTCCCAGTGTTGGGGACCCTGTTATGGATATGGATGATGAGGACTGTTCAAACTCAAAGGAATTTATACAATTATACTGTCAAATGGTTCAAATTACTAAAAACTAAATAAGTCTATATAGGGAAACTATATATACCAACATCCTCTTATAGTTATATACCTTCAACTCAGCATCCTTCAACATTACCAAAGTACCAAACATCATGGGAGTTTTTGCAATTAACATAAAAAAACAAAAGGGGCCTCTTGTTCCCAAATGCAGGACCAAGATGATGATGCGGGAAGCTTTCACATTGATGCGGCGCCTGTTGATGAGACTCCTTCTTTGGAATGGGGTGAACACAACCCAGCTTTGGAAGAGCCCCTCTTAAGTCAGGTCTTAACGCATGGGGATGATGACATGGTGCCATCTACTGTTGAAGTGTCTACTGAGCCGTCTACTGCTGAGACAACCATTCCCAGAACAGGGGCTGAAAGAAATAAGCGTGACCCCTCGACCTTTGACACCATGCCGTTTGAGTTTGATGAGGTCTGTTTGGATTCAGGCAATCCCAAGGCTGAGTCCCTTACTCCCTCTCCACTTGGGGGTAGTTCGAAATATCTCCCATGCCCGAAGACACGAAGTGAACTTGATGCTCGTATCGAAGCCCTTCAGTACCCAAGCTGCATGGACTAAAAATATCATAGATTATCTCATAAACAATACTTATGATAATATTTCTTGTAAACAATTTTGTTATATATCGATATTACTGTTACATGATTTGGTCTATGGCTACCTCTCATATTATCTGTGATTTGTTTAGACAGGCTATATATTGCTGATCCCTGCGCAGCTTCCTGAGGCAACAGCTTTTGGATCGCTGCAATGCATCTATGGCAAAAGCTTCAACAGAGTCTGGTTTGCAAGGGGCTTTGGGGTCACTGTTTGGATTCCATGCGTTGCTGCTAGCATCAAGTAAAGTTGCTTTTCAAATGGTCGTTCTGATCCAATCTGTTTGCTCTGCTGATGGACCTAAGGGTGAAGCTTGTGTTGAAGTGGTGGAGTCCCAGGATGCAACCATGGAGGGCGAAGCTTCTGATCAAGTTGTTCCAGCTGTTGATTCGCAGGGTCTTGATGTTTCCAACGGTGAGATTGTCAGCCCACTACTGTCCCTAGCCGAGCCTGAACCTCATGCCTCTAGCCCTTCTCTGGAATGTGCGCCAGCTCCGGAATGTGTCTCCGTTGCCCCTCTCCCTCCCCCAGAAAATCTCAGCAATGGTGGTGCTGTTGTTGTTGATGATGGGTCAGATGGGGAAGGGTCTGGCGAGGAAAGTCAGGCTAAGATGATGGAAGTTGAGTCCCTGAACCTGGACATGTTTCATGTCTCTGGTGAGTCTGAAGAAGAGACAGTAGACTTCTTGAGGCGACGAGACCAGCAGACTGCAATGAAGGAGGATGCTCCACCCCGAAAGGGAAAGGGCCGAGGAAAGGGCAAAGGTAAGGGGCGAGGTCGAGGCAAGAAGCAGCAAAAGGGTGACTATGAGGAGGAGGAGGAGGTGTTTCCTGAGGAGACAGTGGACAAGCCAGCAGGTAAGAGCAAGAAAAGCAATGGCAGACTGGAAGGAAAGGGAAAGGTGGAAAAGGTAAAGGCTGAGAAGAAGTCCAAGGGGGAGAAGAAGTCCAAGGCGGAGAAGGTGGGTGAAGAGCCAGGGGTCACAGGCAAGGCAACCAAAAGGAAGGCCAAGGCTTTGGAGGAGAAGAAGGAGCAATCAGCAGCACCCAAAGTTCGCAAGCCACGTCAGGCAAACAAGAAAGCCAAGGCAAATCCTGCTACCTCTGCTGCCTCTGCACCGGAGCCTGCCCCCGATGCTGTCCCAGATGTTTGCCATTGTCTCTTTGAAGCTGGTCCACTGGGTGCCCCAGATGTTCCACCCGATGCCCCTGCTCCCAATCCCAAGCCCAGACAGCAGGGCACGAGGGTCCCAGAGAAAACCAAGAAGCAGCTGATCCCCTTGATCAAATCCTACTCCCATTCCTACGTTGTGCCCTACTGGTCTCGTTCTGCGGTGGGCTTGAAAGTCCGTAATGCTTCTGGGTCGTTGTCGCAGGCAGGATTGGTTTCTTGCGTCTGTGTCTGCTGTTCTTTCTGGTGTAGAAAAACATTTCGTTTCGTTTTTGTGGTATGCAAAAGCTGTAGCATCTATGAGGTGCAGGTAAGATAGTCAGCTCTTTCTGTTTTCTGATGCTTGTGCAGGCATTCTACTTGAGTGGCAAGCCTGGCACACCCATGCGCTTGGTTCTGGATCATGTCCAGGAGATTGTCCCCTGGTTATCAAGAGGTTACAAAATATACTATATTATTATATATAGCAAGTATACAAGTATATAATATATAGCTAGCTGGTACTGAAGGGCTCCACAACACTTCACATTTGAATCCTACCAACTATATTTCATCTTTGTAAATATAGCCAAGGCTGCGATGGTGGACTCGCTGAATGGTTTGTATACCCACGTCTCCGTCATTGCCAAATGGCGGGAGATCAAGGCTTCGCTTCGATGAGATGATGGCCAGAAGACTTTCCCGGGGACTTTTCACAACAATGTTCGAAGTCAACTTTGTTTCAGGGGCTTTGGATGTGTGCGTGAATGCACGCGCATGTGCTAGCGGGATCACTTTTATGTGATTTGTTATCGTGATTACTCATCTTGGGTCTGCTTTGCCAAGTTGTTTCACAACTCTATTTCCATTTTGGAAAAATAGTTCTATATTTTGTAGCTCAAATGACGTAGCAGGCAAGCCCAACTGCCACCTTTGTTTTGTGAAGGGGCAACATCATAGAATGTTGAATGCTTTGGCATGATTTGGCCAAGGATATGAACATCGATGCTGCCAGTGAAAGAAAAGTGTTTCTGCCACTGTGTTTGGTCATCATCGTGATCAGTGACATATGACATATAGTAATTATTCCTTATTGTTTATTCCTTTATGTTATCCCCTGGTATTATTCAATAGGATGCATTACCTCTGCCCTTCCTTGGACTCCCTTTAGAGTTGATAGCATTGCCCTTATGCTACAGCACTGCCCCAAGGCCGGACTGTCCTTCTTTGGACGCTTTGGTCTTGTGCAAGAGAAGCGAACTCCTGACCTGATTGCAGCAGCTGGGGGGCTGTCTGGTCTCAGGTGTTGAAACCTAGCGGAAGGGATTCACACATGTGATCTTGGAACCCAATCGCATGGTCAAAAGTCTGAGTGTTGCAGAATCTGGGTTCCAAAGCAGCTTTGAGAAAAAACTTGCCAGCCATGGGGTCACCAAAAGTCCGGGATATGCATTTCGATCGTGTAATGCGCAACCTTTTTGCGATGAAGTGCCCAAAGGTAACTTGAACAATCCTTAGTTTATGTGGTAAATAAAAATGTCACATAAAATATATTTCATATAATCTATTCGTGGATGATATTTACATAATATTGAATACTATTAAAGGTTTATCTTCTGTGATATCAACTGGATTTGCATATACACAATATATATTGGAGTATTCGATATATACATATTTTCCCCAAGAACTTCTGAGAGATCAATGGACAACACACAGTGTAGTAGCACCCCTCTTGCTTCTGAGGTAATGATCACCGCGGTGATGCTTATCTTTTGGCTGAGGGCCCCGGCCTTTGGGCCATTGGAAAGGTGGGATGTAGTTGACCTATTTGCCGGTCAGGCAAGGATTGCTCGTTTGGCCCGCCAGTATGGACAATCATCCATTGCAATGGACATTGGATACCATGAAGATCCCCATATCTTTGATATCAACTCTGAACCTGGATTTGTGTACCTTAGTCTTGGAAACTTCAAAATTATTTCTTATTTGTTGAGTTTGGTTCCCTATCTAGTTCTTCATGATTACTTCATTGGGTCTCCATAAAGAGAAAATTATACCATAACTTTATGGTTTCGAGGGTTGCCCGAAATCGAGGATGGCACTGAAGAGTATACTTGAAGGTCGCTACGGATCTCTATTGGTGACCCTTGGGGTATGCTGTTCGAGTTGGATTACAACGTCAAATGGATCAACCAAGAGAAGTTTCCTTACACCGATGGGTTGTTGTCTCTATGCTACAGTTGCAGCTGCCAACAAAATGGTATCACGGTTCCCTGTTAGCAAGTAAGAGCTATTTTAACCAATGTTTAGATTTATTTTGAAAGGCATCCCTTGTGAAACTCATACTATCATATTCTGGTGGGTTGGATGGATATGGATGGATATGGGGACATACCCGTATTTGAATTACTACAGCCACATCATTTTCAAAATATGGGAAACAATCACCAAAGTTATCTTATGTCTAGCCCGGGGTTTTGTTGACCCTAGGTGTGTACTATTATTGCTGGCGGTGATATCGATGAATGGGATATACATACTGGAACAGCCAAGCTCTAGCCTCATCATGATGCATGAGAGAATGGTATGGCTTCAACACCTGTTGGAAAGTCTTCTGATGCGTGTGTCTTGGAAACTTATCCATTGGTCTTTTCTTTTGACCCCCCATTGGTTCTCAATGGTCAATGGGTACCACCTCAAATGTATAATCATTGGTGTTTATATTTGCACATAATCAATGGTGTATAAATATAATACAGGGTTATTTTTGCTATGCCTCATTCCTGCAACTAAGATGTTTCTTCAACGGTTCTGGATGAAAGGACTTGGGCACCAAACACCGAAGAGAACAGTGCTTTTTTCAAATACTGCATGGTTAGTCGAGTTTTCCTTCGCTGCCAAGTTGAAGAAGCAGCAGCTGACATCTGAAGTAAAAACTACAGACCAATACACCTCCAAATCGGGACGCAAGAGATTTAAGGGAAATGGCAACCTCAAAGCTACCCAGACTCTCGTCGAATGGGATGGGTCAAGAATGGCTGTGGGTGGATTTTGGGGTCCCTGGTATGTATTGTGGGTTGGCTAGACCCCCCAAAATGTTTAATGAACCAAAGCACCAAGAATTCTTTTGACCTTTTGGGGAATTAATGGATTTATATTTCACTTTGATATAACCAATGGTCAATGTATCTTGTTATTTTGGGCTAAGGCGCAACCCTTTCATGGTCAAATCCCCACATCGTATGTTTTGAACCATGGGTCCTATTTTCACCTCCTGATCCAATTCTCCCTCATGTCTGGGCATCCTGGCCTGAGGGTATATACGTGGCCTTATGCACGTCGCATCCTGCAAATCAAAGATTTGGGCAAGCGTGAAATCCGAGACCCCATTCCCGGAGACCCTCAACTTGGTTTATAGAGCATGGTTTTTCTTTCATGACATGATTAACTTATGTTGTTGTAAGGGTATCCCTCAAGTTGTGGGCATTATGGGCTGGATGTCATTATCAAGATTGTTTCCGACTAGCCAAATCCTTTAGGTTGATGAGACCTCTGATCTGAAGAAGATGTATGCAGCCCTTCCCTGGGATGACCTGTGGGGTGATGCTGACATGGTCAATGTCATTAGATACCTCAGAGGTTCCAAGCTGCTGGAAATCCCAGACGAGTGGCGACCCTTGCTGCCCAAAGAACTTTAGGCTAGGGTGCCACATTTTCACCCTGCAGTAATTTGGTGCCCTCTGAGCCCAGGATCCAAACCAAAGCTATGGAAAAAAAGAATTTGACCTTGTTTGTCCAATTTATGGCATTGGTGAGAACCTTTTTTGGGACCCAAGTACTTTTTTTATTTCTGGAATTTTTGGATGGCGTCCGAAGTACGGAAATATGCGTCCAAACTACGGAAAAAGGCGTCCGATCCGGACCCGTCCGAAGGGTACGCACTTTTTTCCTAAAAACCGTACTTTTTAGGGGTTTGGACCCGTCCGACTGGACCCGTCCGACCGGACCCATCCGACCGGACCCGTCCGACTGGACCCGTCCGTCCAATCACGGAAATTGGGTATATATACCTGTTGGTGGAAGTTTCATATGGATATGGTTTCATTAACCTTGAGTTAGCACTGAAAGAATTAGTTTTTGATGGTTATTGTTGTTATATTTTTGGGGCCAACCTCAGAATATTGTTTATTAAACAAATCTCGTCAAAGTCTCGAGGATGTGATGTGGGATGTTGTTATGGAATCTGTAACTTATTTGGATAATTGTTGGTTGATAAACAAAATGATGGTAATCCCAAATCTTGATAACATCTCACCCTCATCCATTGGGTCCTTCCTCGGTCTTGGCAAAGTCAAAGCACGTAGGGCCTTCCAGAGAGAAACCCATGAATAGGTATCAATTTCTTCTAAAAATCTATTGTGGGATGTTCAGGGAAATTGTATTTACACCACTATCACTGTCTAACTATTTTAAAGCACAATGAATTTATTATGTGGATCCTGGGATATTGCCAACTCTTGGGCCAGCCCCTTGAAAGCAGCGTTGTCCTCATGATATCATGTGACTTGTTTTTGGAATTCCCAAACCTATATAGTGTCAGGTTCAAAGAGATACGATATAGTAGTTATCTCTTCGTAATGAGCATTGGTCATGTATGCTAATATGAGTGCCATTACTGTTTTTCAATCTGATTCCATACCCATGAACGCTACTGCATATGGTATTTCTTGTAATTTATCAGTTTGGGGTTCACATGCCTCTACAAAACATCTTGCGGTTTAGGTTCAATCCAGCAGGGTTGCGATACATATGTAGGCAATGAAATCTAGGTAGCCATATTGCCACCAATGGCAAAGCGACTGCGTTCAATGGCTTCTATCCTTTGGGATTCCGATGTTCAAGAAGTTGACCCTGATTTTTTTGGTACTGCACATGCTGACCAGCAAAAATGCATGCAGCTTGAAAGAGAAATTGAAAAACTCAGGGAAGAAGTGAACAGGTTAAAGAAGGACAATGAGATGTTGAGGGTGCCAAAGCCCGTGCCGAGTGCACCCCGTGCACCTTTGACTCTCCAGTGCGCAGAGCTCATTTCCCTGTGGCCAAAGCAGAAGTGGCTGGCTTCGGTTGGGGTGGATGTGGCAACGTGTGTTCGACTTACTGAGGAAGTTCTACCCCAACTTGAGGAGACTAACAGTGCCAACCATCGAATCACATTTGCACTTTGTAAATCCCCAAAGGCTACTGCTAGCGCTGTGCTAAATCATGTGGAGAAGTGCATCTGTGATCTATCGAGAAAATACCCTGCTGTTTTCAAGGTTGGCATCACAAGCAACCCAGTGAAGAGATGGTGCCATTCACAATATGGTTACGCTTTGGACCATAGGGAATCTTGGCTAGGCATGAAGATCTTGGCTGCTTGCAGCACTTCCTTCAGTGTTGCATTAATTGAAAGTGCTTTAATTCGTCGCTTCCAAGGGACCCCGGGGTGTCGAAATGACAAACCAGGAGGGGAAACACCATCACCTGAAGGGGGTCCTCACTTCACATATGTTGTGTACAAAATCTTATTACCCCCTGCCAGGTTGGTTTCCCATGCGATGCCTAAAGACAGCTAGTCAGTAGTATTTGGCTACAGGCTATTTTGCATTTTGGACGGATCTTGCCTGATCAACTGGAAGAAAAATGTGTGGTTCAATTTTTGTGACCTGTATCATAGCTTCTGATTCGACACATGTTCCTGTAGGGAAGCTTATGTTGACAAAATGTTATTCAGATATTTGTTGCATTATATGTGCACTTCCAAAGCCCTTCCCATGGACAAATTCAATTGTTTTTGCGTATGACTTTGTTCGTTCCTTTACATGGATGTGTTACCAATATTGATTGTCATAGCCTTGGAAGCCTCATCATTGCCCCTGTCCCTGTCATCCTTGCCTGGCAATGTCATCGAAATTGCCATCCCAGTCTTTCAGCAGTGAGAGCCTGGTCAAGGGTATGAAGGCTGTAGCCAACCAGCAGGTGAAAGCAGAACCAGATGTTAAGGAAATGGAGGCTGAACTCCAGGACTAGTTGGGTTATCAAGCCAAAAATGGATTGGGATTTAAATTCAATTGGAGTTCCAAATTCGGCTGGAAATAAAATTCAAGTGGATCATAGTGGATCTAAGTTCAGGTTTCGTCCCAATGTGTAAATGTACTATGTTTAAATTATTGATTCAATTTGGGTTGCTATTGTGTTACTTGTTTCATCAACTATATCAAGCAACAAACTCATAAGTGACAAACTCATAAGTAACTTTGGATTCCCAAGTTTGTCCCCCATATACATTGTAAGCTTTTCTTTGCAGGAACTTATGCGCCAACGTGCGATGCTATCTCCTGTTCCTGCAGGAGGCGATCTTACCAAGGAGAATCCAGGTGGTGCGTCTTCAGCGGCTTACCCCACTCAGCATTCAACCACAACCCCAGGGAAAACATTGAAGAAGAGCCGGGTTGAAATTTCAAAGTCCAATTCCACTGCCCAGATCACTTTTGATAAGATCATCCCAGGGGACATCTCGCCTCCGGGAACTCCTTTGGCACCCCGTGCGCTTGACCTTGGCCAGACTGGTGATTCACCGGATGAGATCGAGGTCTTGCGAGAAGAGTACCATAAGGTGGTGAACCGGAATGCTGACTTGGAGGTTCAAGTTAAGATGCTACAGCATGAATTGACTCAAATGAAGATTAGTGCCCCTGGATGCAATGACACAGAGAATAATGAGGGCACAGGTGAGCAGGGCAATCCTGAAGTCCCAGCAAGTGAAGAAGCTGCTCGCAAACGCTTGCAGCGCATATGCACCCCGAAAGCTGATGGGAAACATGTCAATGTTATATATGTTTTTTTTGTTTTCAAGATGGTATGCTGCATACATAATGTACACAATCAAAAGGAATATATATGGGGAGGTTCAATAGCGGAAAGCAGTGTCAAAACTTCTGCTACGCATCGGAGGAACCTGCTGGTACCTCGCGAGATCTATGAGGAGTGGAGGAAGGGTGGTGCGAGCCGAGCCCGTCTTCAGGAAACCTTTGCCAACCTCAACTTTGACAAGGTGGGTTGGGGTATGTTTCTTTCAACATGTTAATTTCCTTAAGGTTAGTACCTGAAACATTTATTTAGGAAGTATGGTTTTCACATGTTTTGTCAAAGAGGGTTATCAAAGTGTCATGAATCCAGGCAGCGTTCATTGCCCATGTGTCTTTGGAAATTGAAGAATGCCAAAGTATGAAGACAACTGTTCATGCCGAGTGGGCATCCGAAGAGAAAATGCGAGATGGTATGCACATGAGTGCGACCCTTGATATATATACCCTTGGTATGTTTTGATTGCCATTTATTTTACTGTTCTTTGGCAAATATGCCCACACAAAATGATTATGTTTGCTGCTATATGCTGCTATACTAAGGGCACGCATCAAGGCGGTGAAGGATTACTGTGAGAAACATGAAGGACTGACGAAGTGGCTAGGGTTGCAAGAAGTTCTTGCTTTAGAACATGTCGAAAACTCCCCAATCAGACTCCAAGTGATTACCAGCCCATATCATCTCCAGGTTGGGACCAGCCCTTCTCAGGTTTGACAAGTACGAGGGCAAGATGCTTTTTTGGGTGGAACACGAAGTGACGGCCCAGTATGAATCCAGCAAGACGAGGACCCGGCGGGAACAGGTGAACTTTGACACGGATGAGCCTGATTCGACTCTTTGCGCAGCCTCGGCACCCATGACCCTCAACATGGATGATGTCAGGAACATGTCATTAGGCAGGGGCCCCACTTGTTTCCTGTGGTTTCCCAATAATAGGTTCAAGAACCCATCTTGTATGAACACTTTGTGCTCACTATTCCCTAATGGTCTTCGATTAATGTTAGATATTCACAAATGATATGTGTGATACATAGTATATCAAACAGAGCTACTGTAAAGATCAAGTTGGGGATGTGTCTGACCTGATGCTTTGGAATCACTGCCATCTCAATGATAACCAGAAATTTTGAATGTTTGAGTCTTCAAAATATCGATCACGTATTATATTAAATATAGTATATATATATATAAGTAAATCTGTAAACGGATAGATCTTAACATGTTTATAGATCCCACAAGTCAAGTGTCATTCAAGTCCCAACCAAACCAGGTGTCCAGCAAAATTGTTGGATCAATGCCTTTGCTCAGGTGGTACGCCTGGTGCCGGTGGAGATGTTCAGCCCCAGCCGCGCAGCCAACCACCGGTGTTGCCACAGCTCCAAAAGAATGAGAAACCGTCCCAGCAAATCCTCAAGTATATGGAAGGGATCAACAAACGTGTTACCAAAACCATGGAATCTTGTCCTGTAAAATACTGTATGTTTACAACTGCTCAGAAGATCTTGGCACAAGGGCCAGAACCATACATATGTTTGTTTTATGTCTGAATACTAGCCCAGGAGTTGAAGGGAAAGTATGAGGCCATTGATGAGGTGTCCCGCTCTACGGCCCAGAAAGCGTTCTTGGCCTGCATATGGTCACCATACTTTTCCGAAAATATACTTCAAAACGCAATTGCATTTAGGTTCCCAGGTAGCTATTATATAAATAGTTTTTGATCCCCACAAAAAAATTGGCTTTCAACAGTTGCTTCGCTGCACAGGTTTGTCCAGAAGTTGACTCAGCTGGTGGATGCTTTGGAGAACAAACAGGCCCTCATCAATGAGGTCTATTCATCTGGCGCTGTTGAGGGTTATACTGATGAGCACCTTGCATGGCAAATACATTTACTGTAGGAGGATATGTTCTCCCATGCAAGGGTAAAAAAAACTACAGTTATATAATACAAATTCAGTGGATCATGTAATCAATGTTGTTGTATTCCTTTATTTTTTGTTGTGAAATCTACCTTTTGGCCCTTCTTTAATTACTCAGGCAAGAGACTGTGCTTCGTGATCACTACAAAGAGGCTATGAAAGTGTCCCTTAGCTCAACCATTTCAAAACTGATAATTGAAGTCTTTTGCATCACATGACTTGGGGGTTGATTTTGAATTCACATTTTCATCATCTTGAAGCCAAAGTTATATCCATTACATCCATTATGGTCCTTTGCAATGCTGAGGGCGCAGGAGTCCGTTACCATGGAGGCCCGAGCTCGTTCCATCCCAGCCAAGCCGAAGGCTGTGGCAGCCCCGGCCTCCAAAGCGAAGGCAAAAGCCAAGGTGAAGGCCAAGGCCAAGGCCTCGGCAAAGGCTGAGGCTTCCCCAAAGGCAGCTCCGAAGAGAGCTGCCCGTTGCTGATTGGGTTTTTGACCTATCAGGGATAACCTTGATAGAATGTTTGGGTCTCAATAGCTGCCATCAGGGATAGCCAACTTTGAAAAAAATGGGAAATGCTGATATTTAGAATATGTTTTCCTATTTTTCCTCTATATAAATTGTTTGGTTCCCCTATTTTCCTTTATATAAATTGTTTGGTTCCCCTAGTGAACAAGATTTATCATTGTCTCTGTTATTCGCTGTTGGTTTCTTCCCTGTCATGCCCATCGGGTTGATCCCCTGATGCAGCGTTCAAAGAAAATTTGGGATGATAAGCCCATAGATTTTGAGGTCAATCCAGATTAGACTGTGTAATCAATGTGCCCGGCATCACATGCCAGCAGGGAGAGGCACGGTTGAGCATTGCACGGAGTGGAGAAAAATGCATGGTTACAGCCCTTTTGCCTGGAATTAGCCATGGGAAAGTGTGATTTCAAGGTTTACTGGTTTGTAGTGGGTCCATCCAATTTACGTCAATTAATTAATCTGGGTATACAATATCCTGAAATCACACATTCCCGACTTCCAAATCGTTTGATGCCAGGTGAATCTGAATACAAGCCGGGTGTCATGATGAAGAACCTGGCGCTGTCTCTAGCTGATGGTGCTGCTTGGTCTAAAATTAGATCGAAACATCATGTCCTACATGAAGTGCTGCTAAAAGAGATATTGTATCACACCAGAACCCCAATGTCTCCCTAAGCCTGCCCCATAGGGCTGATTCCCCTGGCCATCCTGAGGCTTCAGGCTCGAAACTGAAACGACTGGCAGATGCGGCAGCCCAAGAGGAAGGTGCCCTGAAGTATTCAGCGGTGTTCAAACGAATTTCGACCATGACCAAAGACAATCTGAAGAATGCTGAGCGAGATTTCCATGCTGTATTTAGTAGCTGTGGGTTGACTATTCCAGTCCCCGTTTCAATGCATCGATTTGGACTACTTCACCTTCACTACCTTTCTCTGGAGAACTGGTTTAGCTACCTGATCAGTGAACATTCCCGGTTATTGTTCGGTGGATTTGATGTCAGCGATGGACGCACCAAGTACTTGCTGGGATCTTTTTGGAAGAAATATCAGGTAGCCCATGGTGACCACTGGGTATTTTCAAATCACACCGATGAGTTGAACAAATGTATCCCATATTACCTTCATTTGGATGAGGGCACAGGCCAGAGAAAGAGTGGAGTACTAGTATTCAACATGCAGTCGCTGTGGGGCTTGGACACCAAGACCAAGTTTGAACGAGCTTTTCATGGAAATCTTGGGAGATCTGATGAAGATTTTGAGGACTACATGACCAGGTCCCAGTGTCACAATCAGTCTGGGTCATCATTTCTGTCTCGATTTCTCTACACCATCATACCGAAGAAATGGTATTCAAAGAAGTTCTCATTTGTCTATGACAAGGTTCTTGAAAAACTGGCAGCGGAATCCCGCAAGCTGGCCTCCACTGGGGTGAAGGGCTGGTATCCCATTTGCCTCGGGGTCAAGGGAGATGCTCCGGCGCTAGCCAAGGCGGCTCACTATACAAGATCTTTCCTGAACCTTCCCATCAAAAAATCAAACCTTTTTTTTGGGCGCTATAATCAAATTTATTTATCATTGTTCTATGGGGTTGTGCGTTCTTGTTTATATGACCATGTTATGTTTCTGTGAACCATATTTGCTTTCAACCCATATATATAGATATTATATAGTTGGTCCTTGGTCCTTGGTTGCCTTCCTTCCCTTGCCATTGCTAAGGAATCTTTCTGAGCAGGTTGGCAAGGGCATTTGCCCAGAATGTTTGGCTGGCCTAGATGATTGCCCCTATGAGGATGTCAGAAAATGCCCTGCATGGAAACCAACCGAGGGATTGGAAAAACCATGGGATCCACAAGATCCTAGCCCATTGCTTGAAATTCCACACCGTGAATTTTCTCCACACCTACTGTTCCGCAAAGACCCGTTTCATGTTTACAAACAAACCATTGGAGGGCATTGGGTGGCTAGCTGTGTGGTTCTTCTCATGGATTTGGGCTACTGGTCCAGAGTGGGGCAGAGCACACAAGCTGATGTACTGCTGGAGTTTGCATATGAAGATTTCAATTTCTATGTCAAGCACGAATTTCAGGGGCGGCATGTTGCCAACATCAAGAATTTCACCAAGGCTTTGTTCCACTGGCATCGCATTCAAACATTTCCGTTTGGTCGCTTCAAGGGTGCGGACTGTATGTTGATGGTACGGTGGCTTCACCAATGTGTGTCAAAGGGTGTGGTGGTCCCGGGGGCAAACCAAAGACCCAATGTGTCTTTGATTCATCGGCCTTTGGATCCTTCTCATACAAACATGTTGGCATTGGTGTTGGAGGGGTGCCGGGCAAGTCTTCAGTTCTGGCGGGTTTTACACAATGAGGGCACCTGGCATTGCAGGAATGCTGCTGTGTTGGTTGTAGATAGTTCACAAAGCTTTTCCGATTGCTACTCCAAACTGGCAAGTCAATGCCACATGCTGAAGCTGAGACGTTTTCACCTAGAGCCCACTTTGCATTACATGCATCATTTTGCAGTCGATACCCAAGAGAGGCTTGATTTGAATGATATGCATATCTTATCACCCAACAATGACAACTGTGAGACTGATGAGGATTTCGTTGGAAGGGTGAGCAGATTGTCACGGTCTGTTCATGCCCTTTCCATCCCGCAAAGAACAATTCAAAGGTACAAGATCAAAGCTTACTTTGTCTTCACTGGACAGGATTGGGGTTCCTCTGGTGTCAAAAGACGTGGTAAGAAGAGGAAGCAGCTTAGGCCCAGGCAATGAAAAAAGGCCGAAATCGCAGGGGCTCCGGTGAGAGCCACACCCGGCCACGGGGACTGGTGCAATCAACTGCATACATACACTCATGTACTTTTTTTGGTCGAATTGCCCCAAAAATCATCGAACGAACTTAAATTTTGGTGCTTTTGCAATTGCCCCAAAAAAATGAGGCAACGGAGTCTCAAGGTATATATATATATATATATATGTTTGTGTGTGTATGTATACATACATTTGATTAAATCATCATGTCTAGTATGTATATATTTACATTATTTACTACATGTTTCAATATTCTATGGCTTTGACATCAACCACCGATGCAGGTCCTGCTGCAGCTCTTACCTGCGGATGCCGCGGGGAATACCGCAGTGTCAGCGACGGAGCCGCCCCGGGCCTTGCTGGAGGCCGTGGCTCAGGATGATGCCGAAGATAGCGAAGGCGCAGGAGGCCATGGAAAAGAATGGAAAAAAATGGAAGAGAATGGAAGAGAAAAGGATTTCGAAATTAGGAGATGCGTACTTAGTACTTGCCTTTAGTTCAGGAAGCGGCCTTGCACAGATGGCACTGCCAAGCTTAGAAAACCACAGAAAATCCAGAAGATTCTAGAAGGCTTCGCAAGGGGATAGCAAATTGGAAATCAGATTGAATAAAGGATTTGACAGAGTCACATGACCTCGTCTATGAGTATCAGCCATTTGCATCCATTTGCCAGTTTAGCCTATTTGACTCGCAATGGCTTTGTGGATCAGCCATTTGCCAAACCCAGCTTCAGTTCTAACATTTCACAGTCGGTTCGCAGGTGATTCACCTAGTTTTCTCAACAGATTGGGCAGTGCTGTTTCTCGGCTGCCTGTAAGCTGTATCAAGCGAGCTTGATGGGAACAGATGCTCGAGACCGGACAAGAGTTGACTAAAGCATCCAGCTCTTTGCACAGGGTATATTGGGATTTCAGTCAAATCAAAGGAGCGTGGATATCATTGGATATCTGGATATCCACTTATGGTCACTGATGATATCATGATGATATCATGATGATATCATCATGATATCATCATGATATCAACACCTCAGAAATGGTTTGACATTAAATCACCTAGGCCCAAAGCTGGTTCAGCCAGCAGCCGGGAGCCTCAGGAGTAGATGCAAAGCGCACCGCGAAATTCCTCCGCAGCATTGGACATCAGATAGATTACAGATCCAAACACTGCACACAAATAAGATCAAATAAAACTGAGTCTTTTATTTCGGCACATGTGTCAGCATCATGAAAAAATCGGTCACGCTAATGCAGTTGATTCAACGCAGTGCCCTTGCATAATATATTATATAGGTGCATTGATATCATACAGAGGTGTTTACTTGATCTAATCATGCGTATCCGTATGTACTTCACTAGATTGCACCTGAGGCTGCTACTGTCAGGTGCTTGGAGCCTCAAAATCCACCATCATTGGAAATCCATTAGATGGATAGTATATGATAGTATAGTATATGAATGTGAGAGACAGATATACCGATATACTTATTAATCATTATTAATTTATTGGCATTTGATGTTGAGGCAGCCCCAAAATATCAGAAGTTGGATAGGATGGATAGGCGCAATTCATGCCAGAGCTGATCTAACCAGAACCTGTGGGTAGTATAGGAGAGGCGGAGGGCGAAAGAAAGAAAGAGAGAGAGAGAGAGAGACATAGTTGACCCAACCTCTTTCTTCCAACCCCCTGACCAGTCCACAGCGCCGAGGAGCGGCTATAGCCGTGCATAAGCCGAGGAGAGATCAACATCAATCAATGAACTGCTGAACTGGAAACATTGTCGAACTGGGATTGGGTTTTGATATGTGTTAAGTGCTAGGCGGGGTACGTTGTACAGTATCATTCTGATTCGGCCAAGGTGTTGTTGAAAATTCATCCTGCGCAGGACTCTCGCAAAAGAGAGCTTCAACCAGTCATCAAATTCCCGCTGCGCCAAAACATGAAGTTGCCGCACTTGTAGGGTGACAGGTTCAAGGAAGTCACGAAGAATATATCATCATAGTGGTGCATTATGTGTGTGTGTGCACAATCATGGTAATTATGATATAATAGGCTTATAATAGGCATTGAATAGGCATATACAGTAAAAATAGTAGCAGTGACCAATTGAGCCTATTTATATAATCTTTACATAAAGTAGCAAACAAATAATCCACTGTCCTCGTCCTCGCACTTGTATCAGTAGAGTTGATTGAGTTTGGCTTGTCATTAGAAGTCTTCAATTTGCGAATCCATTCGATCTCAAATCCTTTTTTCGAGAATGGCCTTCCCCGAACGAAGTCTGATGGAGCAGCGTCAGTCGAAGCTCCAGTGTGGAGCTCTAAAGTTACAGCTCATGTCCCTTTGCACAAACCAGGTAACCAGCCAATAAAGTAATAATCTGGCAGCGCACCTCATATGCTGAAAGCTGTTGTGGTCGCCCCTGAGTCACCAAGATTCGTGCCGCAGCCAGTGCAGCCCCAAAGGGAGGGATGAGCCATGAAGAGCCCCCGCAACAAAATCAGCCACCAGATGCCATCAGCACAATGAGACCACTGAGACCTGGGCAAAGATACTGCAACTTCTGAGATTCAATTCAATGGCCTTGTTGATCCTGGAATAAAGCCGGTCCAGCAACGTTTGGCCTTCCATATTTGATCATATTTGAGCCACATTGCCATTCAAAAACTGAATGAAGGCATATTCTGTGACACGTTTTTCAAACATACCTTTGTTGTTCTTAACATGTCTCCTCACGTCCCCTCCCTAGCCTTTGGAGGGGCAATGCAGCAAGCTTAGGACATTTGGGTTTTAAATACTTCAACAACCATAACACCGCTTTATTATCAGCTGTTCAGCAGCATTTGGCCGACCTGGGCAACCAGTTTGTAGCTGTCAAGCATGAGACAGGGACGTGTTTGGTGTGCTTCCAGTGAGAAGATCTCGTAGCCAATGGCAACCAGCGGATATGCTGACCAGGTGCATTTCGGGGTGTCGAACTGATCTGTCCAAGACATGACGAGCATGTGCAGCAAAACCCCACTTAGAATGCCCCATTTTGGTTAAACTTAGAATGCCCGAGCATACCCATGCAATAATATGGTTATAAGAAAAAAAACTCTCTATTTGCTGTCATTTGCGAGGAATTATCATGGACGCCCTAAAACATAGAATGCCCCACAGTTTTTGTCATTTGACCCCACAAAAGTGTAGCCGCGTTTTTTTTGCAACACGTCCCAGCAGAAATGCAAAAAAATGAAAGGACACAAATAGATCAATGCCGTTTTCGTTTATAGTTATACCAGACCCACTAGTAAATCTCGATGTAGTTTAGGGATGGTTTTTGCCAGGCATGTATGGTGATATTGCGGGTTTGACCACATTAATTTGAAGGATTACACCTATGATATCCATTGTATTTGGGTTCAGAGGCATTCTAAGTTATTCTAAGTTTAGTATCCTGGATCATGTTCCTTCGGCTTTCCCGGCATTTTGAAGTACACACATGATATTTTGGTATATGAGTACTGAGTCATTCCAAGTTTGAGGGGGGGCATCTAACTGGGGGGCATTCTAAGTTCTCCCCAATTAATTGTTTACACTTTTTGACCCATTCTAAGTTTCGGACCGCGGTTATTTTTTTTAGTTGCAATTCGCAACCAATGTCAAGTCAATTCGTACTGTGAGGTGAAAGTGTCTAGAAGAATCCAAATTAAAGCCTTGATTTTAAACGCCCGAAGGAGATCGAGCTGATCGTGGGAAAGCAGGTCATTGGCCATCCAACTGGGGGATGGCCATGCTGCCATGCTCATGATAGGTGACCATCCGATGCCCGCTGATCAAAGTAGGTTTGTCCCTTCTATTTGGGTACCTAGGGCACCTAGGGCTTAGTGCGCGAGCGAGCACTCAAAGGACCCAATGGTTTCAATATACCAATATGTGTTAATCCATGTCAATCCTTTGTTATGTTGTTTTTTCCCCACTTACCAGGTGAGACTGTGAACCCAGCACAACCAGCATCTCCAAGCTGAAGCTGTCCAGGTCCAGGTGGTTGGCTATCCTGCTCATGTCCGCTACATTGGCGAAGCGCACTTTGCGCCGGGCGAGTGGATTGGAGTAGAGCTGGAACCAGGCTGTGGGATTGCTGCAGTGTTTCTTGGATTTCTTGGCAGATCTTGGCAGTTTGTTCGAACTCACCGAGTTTCAGATCCTCCAGGTTTGGAACCAAGAAGTAGTTTGGTGTGAAAGAGTGCTGCAAAGGATGGTGAAATTATGATAATTATGGAAATCCAAAGTTCAAAATCCCCCACAATAAGTTGTCATCCACCGTACCGGCCGTACCGGCCGTACCGATCCGCCTCAGCTGTGGGAAAAAACGACGGCTCAGTGATGGAACACCGGTGCGCCTTAGCTGAGCGCCGGACGTGCCAGATTGATATAGATGTGATTGTATCGACGCATCAGGATACACAGGCAGGATCAGGCAGGCATATCAATGTTTGCGACTCGCAGCCTTTGCACGAGTCGGATATGAGGTTCCCAACCTGTTATTTTGAGATATTTTGAGTTGTCGGGCATTAGAAAAACATCGGTGACGTCAGAATTTGGCACTTCTTTTGTTGGTTCACCAGTTCAGCTACTTTGTGGCAAATGAACTATCACCAAATCATCTCTGCATTGCGAAGGTACTTCACCTGTGCTCCCAAACATGGCCTGTTTGTCCGTCGCGCAATGGTGTTGGGTGTCTCAGTATGGCACCATTGGCACCAAGGTCACTGCCTCTAGGTTTCTACATGTGGACTGTGGTAATTATTTGATGTGCTGTATTAGTGGTACTATGTGGTACTGGTAGGGTTGGAAGTCTAGGATACTTGTGCATTTGGTTGGTGAGATACACTCTGTAGGAACTACTGCAGTTGCTCAGAGCTTTTTGGTTTAGGACATAGGACATTTCCAAAGGATGGGTGGGGAACAGGGGCTGCCATGTTTTGTTGCCACTCCTGGTGTTCTCCAAATCGTCTCGGAAACCCAAAGCATTGGATTTGGTAAATCACTGTAAATCTGCATATTTTATTCAATCAGCTTTTGGCTGACCAATCTTTAGCCGCCACACAATCCCCTCCGCCCTTTCCATTCTTGCTTGCATCTCCAGCATATGGTGTCAGGAAATCAGCCCCAGCAGCGCCGGCAGATACGGCAGGTGCCTTCACGCACAGGATAGACTCATAGAGCAACGTGGCCTTGCAAAATCCTTGCAATATTTTTTTTTGCAATGTATGTGTTTAAAATGAACATGAGAAATTGTACACCCCGGGGTTTTCGCGCTACCAGTTTTGAGACAAACCCATGTGGGGAGGGCATTCCATGCCCCTTTGAGCACTGAGCCACCTATGCAACTTGCATTCCGAAGCAGGATCAAAATCAAAAAGATCCAATAAGATCAATAAGTAGCTTGGTGATGCTAAGTCAATGCATGTCCCAACATGTCCCAACCACCTTCCAAGACCATTCTGAAATAGCCTCAAAGCTTCCATCAATGCCCTGAAGCATCATGCCTTTTAGGATCCTTTTCGTCTTGAGATACTGTCACTCATTCCATTGACGGGCGAGGCAACCAAGCATCAGCCCCCTGTGTGAAATTCGCAGAGCCGGAGGACCTGGAGGACACCCTCGCCTAGGGCTCAGACCATCTCAGATCATCGATCGATGGGATGATAATGTACTGTAGTTATTGAAGCGCTGATTTTGTTTGCTACTGGTACGTATGATCAAGTTGATACCGTAGATACCGATTAATTACACATGACAAATGTATATGGCGTACTATCAACATATTACATATATATATATATGCATATATATAATATGCATATATCTATATGTATATATATGCACATATATGTATAGATAGATAGAGAGAGAGAGCATTACAGCGAATAGACGTAGATCTCTCTCTCTCTATGCTAATTTTCATATTATGTGCACGTGTCTTTCTTCCAAGAAGATCATGTTGTCCGGAGGCCACTTTTGCTGCCAAACTTTTTTTCAGCGTCCGAACAGTTTGGATTCCATGTTTGAATTTTGACGGAGCCACCTATCCCACAGAGAGAGAGAGTCACCGAAGGGGTCTTCACATATCACTGTCACATGTCACTAGCCACTCAGGGCCAAGTGGCCGAGGACCACCTCGAAAGAGGCAAGCCGGAGCATAGGATGATCTCAATTCTTTAGGTTGATTTCGGGCATTGATATGTGTTTGATAATGTTTGATATGGTTGATGATATTTGGATGTCACACTATTATACTTATTTGTATTCGTCATAGACCCTTTTGGAAACAGTCCAGACTGGTTTGTTTTGGAAGAAGCACCAGGCTTTCGGCCGCGTTGCTTGAAGACAATTCATAGTTGAGATTAGTTGAGTATGTTTGAGTCCTCAGAAAGCTTCAAAGTAAATCTTGTAACCTATCAGAAGTTACAGTAAGTTAAACATGTAACCTATTGCAAGAGTGTTTACTCCTCAGTAAACATGTTTCAGTAAGTCCTGCTCAGTTCGTTCTCTTCTTGCTAATCTTTTCTGAAACCTGGGCTCTTGCCTTGAAATTGTCAGCCATGCCACAGAAACGCGGCTGCCAACCCCGCACAAACTTCAACCATGGGTTTGACCAAACCCAATCAAAAAACTATGGACAACTAACATATAATATACTGGACAATGGACAAACAGAGAGACCGGAAAAGAAGATCACTAAATATCACCAATATAGACGCTGTAATGATTGACCAATAAAATATGATTGTTGCCAGAATTATAGAACGGAAGTTGAGGAGAACAAGGCTGAGGATGAGAACTGGATTGTGAGCCAATTCAACTGCTCCTGCGTAGTTAAGCATCTCCTGTTGCTTGGTCTGCAAATATTGCATATAGCGGCCACTCGTTTCACCAGACGGGACTGATCCCTTGAAGGCTAGTTATTTCACTGGAAAATAGAAAGACAAAAAAAAATAAAACTTGACATTGTTGTCGGAGCTTTGCTGCCTGTCTGTATCAATCCTCAATATAACTTAATCAGAGAACTGAAACACCATTCGGTAGAGCGTCAGGGCAGTGTTTCCAGCCATCACCGATCATCGCCAGTTGGATCCAGCGACGATGAAGTCACAGAAGTTGAGGAGGTCGCAGGGCTGAGATGACTTAAACAGATAGTTGAGCAAAGTTTGGATACAGGCTGCAACCACTACAATAAGGCAATCTCCACGTGAGGAATTTCGGGTCGTCTTGCAAATTAAATAATTAAATTAGGAGGCCCTGCGCAATCCTTCCTGGCATGAAGGTTTTTCATTTCAATATTGAATCATTGTAAAATGTTCAGCATAAACCTTCAACAGGTCCCTGGAGGTGTCAGGAGGAGCGAACATGTTTTGCAGAAGTGCTGCATCATAATGTTGCATCAAAGATCCCACGGGAAGGATTTCTACAGCAGGATTAGATCAGACAATTCTTACGTGTTTGTGCGGGCTTTTCATTATATTGACGCTTTGGCTGTTGGAGAATTACTTCGACCACGACGCAGGTGATGGTGCCAACAAAGTCCGTTCGCCGTGGTGGCGTTTCGGCAGAAGCCATGCGCGACCAGGCGAAAAACGTGGTCAGTGGCAGCTAGCAGGTGGTCATTCAAACGTTGCACCTGCGATCGCACAAAAAACAAGAACCCGCCAAGCCGTGTCAGACCAAGAATATGCCTTTTCAGTGGTATGTCATGGTAGTTCCAGAACTTAGACTAACTGACAACTGCGCGATAACAATAGCACTTTGCTGGGCAAAGATGTTTCTCTGCCAGCGTTGGCCCAGGAGTGACATAATTTTACTACATTTTTTGCTTGGCTTCTCAACCAGAAAACTTTGGCAAGGGATTGAACGAAAAACACGTTCTAAATTCTAAATTGTTTGCATGCATGATGCAACTGTGCTTCTGGCCATCCATTCCATTGAGGGCACTCCAAGGCACCCACGCCCCGTGCAGGGTGAGCTTTGGCAGCCGCCCGCCCACGAGAAAAGTGCCGAGCAAAAGCAGCAACTGCGACGTGTGGCGCAGCTGCAGTGGACGGGTGCTGGACAGCTTGGTGCGATTGCTCACCGAGGGATGCACCATAGGAATCCATAGGATTTTCTTTTGATTTGTGCTGTATCATCCCTGGGCTGTCCCTGGGCAGCTGTCAACATAGAAAAAATATATATATATATATATATATTCATGTATATATATATATATTCAATGAATGAATTTTGAATCATGGACCTTGTCTCGGTATCAAGCGATGTTTCAATCCAAGGAATTTCCAATCACATTCCCAACGCAGTTATTCGATGTAATTGGGATCAACACACTGATAGAGGCTTGTGTATATGATAGATATATATATATATACATATGTCAGCGTTTCTCAGGGTTGCGGAGCCCCATCAAACATCGATCTGTTTGCATGTTGCAGAGCTTCAATTGTCTTGGGCGAATGGTTGTGAATGTGAAAGCATGCCCCTTCGGAGAAGTGCTGCTGGAGCATGTGGATTTAGCTAGGCAGCCACTTGGTGCAAGACTTCCCAGTTCATCCCAGTTCTACTTTTGCTGAAAGTGCTACTTGGATCTAGTCAGACTCAGGTGATCGAAAGTTCGCATGATAGTTTCTAAGCTGCAAGTCTTGGGGCGGGTGGGGCTTCAACAACGTCAGCTCTTGAAGCTTCAGCTGCCGGCCTGTCACAGAAGCCATCCATGGGGCAACCCATCTACCCATCTCCACCCTCATCACATGGAATCCCGGACTGCCCACAGAATCCACAGAGTGCGAGCAGCTAAAAAACGGGACAGCATTGCTTCTGGAGCATTTGTGGACGCATTGTGGACGCATGCCTTGCTAGTCACTGGGAACTTCCATCTCATTCACAGGACATGGACATATGACCAAACGCGGAACAAGGGTTGTTGGAAGCCAACCTCCAATCCTGCCGAGGCAAGTTGCGGATGATGCCAAGGGCCGAGGGTATGGTTCATACTGATCCACCCCCTGCCATTTTTGGGTCACAACATGTGGCATGAAAATCCCCCAGCGATAATGGTACTTGCTAAACACCATTTGGATCCATTTGGACAATCTTGGATTCACAGTGTGGCTATTGCTGATTTCACCATGTTTCACAGCCCAGCATGGTAGGATGATACCGGCTGAGGTTTGGGAATCTTTCACCCAAGGGCTTGGAGAAGGTCGTTGAGGTGAACGATGTGAACGATTTCAAGCTGGAGTTTGTTGAGACATGTTAAGCCCCGTTAAGCCGCAAGCATTTGGGTAGGATGAAAATGATGAAAGAGTGATGCACAGAAGCCAAGCCCACCATGACAAACCTTCAATGGACAGTGATGACAGTGTTTCCTGCACTGTGCGCGATCGTTGCTTCCACTTTGTGTGGGGGGCCTTTCTGCACTTTGTATTTCGATGATTTCATCTCATTGTGGCAACTTGTTTGGCAGTGTCACTGGTATCAGCCAGTGGCCAGCAGTACATGTGGATGTTTTGACATGTTTTGACATGTTGCATTTTGACATTCCTGATTCTGGATTATGTTTGCATTCGCATCGGCATTGGCAGGCCATGTTTCAGAAAACTGTGCCCAAGGGAGAGACCATCATCAAGTGCGCAAAGAGCCTTTCTTGTCGCCTTGAGTGCCAATTGATCGCCGACAGTGAAACAGGTCGCTTAATGAAATGGTCGTGAAATTAGGCCATTGAAGCCGCACACACCCTTGCTGCTTGCTGCCCAGATACGGTGATGAAGGTGACAACTTCTATATTGCGACCCCAGCATGTTTCAAGCTGCAGCTGCTTGTTGTGAGCTGATGCCGCGCCTCGGATACACTCCAAATATCACCAAATCATGTTCGTGAAAGAAGTCCCTACAGGTGAATCCAGGTAAGCCAGTCGGATGCAATCAACAAGGGAAGCCCCAGCTCAACAAAGAAGAACACATAAATACAATGCATACGTGTATATATATTATATATATAATATGTATGATAATATTATATAATCATATATTAACTCGCATATTATTTTATATTATAGTATTTCAACATATGTTGGTTTTCTCTGGTCTTCTATGATTTGTCAGTGGCCGGTGTGCAAACCAAAATCAGAAACTGTGCATACCAGGTCAAGAGCGGAAAGTTTGATATTTTCGCCTACCGTACCATTCAGAAGGCAATGCCGGATCGATATGTCATTTTGTGGCATGCTGTTTGTGTGTTCCTGCGAGCTTTCCAATTGGGTGTCACGTGATGTCACGTCCAATCAGTACCATTTGCACCTCAATGTGCCTCCATTTGATGAGTCGAGATTTTACAATAATTCATGGTTTTGAGTTTTGTCTTTCTTTTATCTGAACTTGCCACATGACCAAAACAATGCCAAAACAATCCCAAAACACAGACCCGCAGGCAGACGACTTTGCGGAGGAAGGAGCCAAGACTATGGTGAAGGTGGGACAACCGAGGTTACGCCATGTCACGCCACTCGCTGCACGGGGCCATGCGAGAACCAAGGTCTTCGAAGCAGGTGAAGGTTTCGCATTTGGCGAAACCGCCTTGTTGTACAACGTGTGGTGGTCCAGAACTCGCGGCTGACAGCCAATGAACAATACGTTATCATACGTTAGCAGCACCGTTAGCAAGCTGGCATAAAGATGCAGTGTTTGCAGCTTGAGCTTGATTTGTGACAGATGGACCTGGCTGACTCTCAGGCCCCCAGATCCGCCACTATCACTGCCAGCCAGGACAGGATGGCTGGAGAGCTTCTGCAGCTGTGTGGTCCGTGGTTCTTTTTTTGGAGCAGTAGGCCCAGTAGGCTCAGTTTTAACAAAAAGTGGGCGAAGTGTTGGCACACGACATGTTAAACTTTCTACATGTTTGCCAATTGATTTGACATGGGATATCATGACCTCTCAGCATCAGTGCCTTTCAAATATTCTACATGTCCTGCGGAAATCCTTCTGCCAAGTTTGATTTTGTATCAGTTTGTCATGCGCACAACCTGAGACGTTTTGTTGGGATGTTGGATGGCAAATCTGATCAAATCAGGAGGCTGAAGTGTGGTGCTTGGAGAGAAGAGCCTTCCGAGAGCTGGTGATCAGGTCTGAAAGAGCAACGTTGGAGATCGGTGGAGTAGCTGTGGCCATGAAGAAGATTTTCGGGATGTTGCAAGACGTCAAACCATAAGCATCTATAAACATCTATAAACCATCCACTATATGATCCAAAACTATCCAAATCTATATAAATAATATGTCATGAATATAGTGTTGTCATGTGTTGTCTTTACTTAAATCTGCATAGCAATACAAATGTCCCTAGCAGTTTGCACAGTAATTAAGTGATTTGTTGGCGCCCCTGACTTGCTTGAAGATGACTTTCAGGAGAGCTGCAAGATTAGTAAGACAACGCAACCATACGCGACCCCTCCTGGACCGTTGTTTTTCCGATTCCTCAGGGCCTCCGAGCAAAAGTTCAAGGAGTGCCCACAGCAATGCCTGAGCTCAGATTGGTTTGGACGGACAGAGCTTGAATCCGATGGGCTCAGGTACTCGGAATTCCTGAAGCAGTGCGATGTTTTCCAAGAGTTGGATGTGGAGCGGCTGGATTTGGCTGGGCATTGCGGAAGATCAGACGTTTCATCATTGTTTGTTTTGAGATGAGTGAAGTCCCCAGCCATGGGGCCAACATGCAGATGTTTCTCCTTGCACTTTGTCCCGTTTCTGCTATCAGGAGCAGATAGCAACCCTGGCTGAGGCCCTGGGCAATTGATAGGGTGGGGAACCAGAAGGTTCAACCGAAGCAGACTGTGGTGTGCAATGTAGTGTCCCGGATGTCCCGGGCAATTCCTTCGAAACTTGCAGCGTTGGAGCGGCACCAAGCGTTTTGAAACCCGTGACATTTGTGCGAACAGCACCAAGCGTCCTGGGCTCTTGGCCCTTGCTGAACTGGTGTGGTGTGAATGGCATGCCCGCGTGGTGCACCAACGTGGCAGGTGGTAGATGAAGAAGACTTCAACAGCGAAGAGGCCGCTTCGCCCGGTGCAGTTTCATGCCTGCACTCGGCGCTGGCATGGCACCACAGCATCCCCTTCTATCCAATTCCCCTGCCGTCAGGCCATCATTCAGCAAGGTGTCAGCCACCTAGTTGGAACGTGGTTCAAAGACGTTCAATAGTGTATTTGTATATACCAAACCGCTACGATCCGCTACGGGTTCACAGGGTTCAACGTTCAACTGGGCAGAATTTCACGGCACAAGTCTATTTCTTAACCTGGCCTGTCAAAGAAGCCAAGGTTTTTGCTGGCATGATCGATGGCCCGTAGTCGCATCGTCTACTCAATGTGACCTCGGAAATGCCAACCAAACATGTCCGACCAAGGGGCGCGACAGCAACATGTTCATCATCCTGAAAGGGCAGGCGCAGTAGATGACTCACCCAACAAGATCTTAGGGAAGTGAATTGTGGACATTTTGAGGGCTTCATGCAATTGAACCATGTTAAAAGTTAAAAATATTCCTTTCCATTACTAATCTCATCACCCTTTGAACGTCATCTCTGTTTTGGTCAGGCGATGGCATGCATCAGTGGAGAGAAGGGAGAAGTTCAGGCATCTCACAGCTCAGTGTGGAACCATTTGGACTTGGAACAGCTGTGGATACTATGATCTGCTATAGGTTTGGCGTTAGGGCATGTATTTGTGATATTTAAATACAGTGCCGTGCTGGTTTTCCCTATTGCTTCTCAACAAGTTCAACAGTTGTGACTACATCCGCCCATATCGGCCCGAAGATGCCTACAACTTGCACGCCAGGTGAAGACGTACGACACCGGTGACTTCTTTGGGGAGATCGCGCTGCTATTGGGAGAGCCTCGAAAGGTCGACAAGTGAAGTACTGTGAAGTGAAAACAACGCACATCGAACGAAGTATCAATCAGATTCCACCACTCATGGCATATTGAGAGATATTGAAACAATCCAATTTTGCCAATAGCAAAATGATGGGCAAGATCCGGAAAGATGCAGCAGATCATACAGACATGCAGTTGAAAGAGAGAGAGAGAGAGAGAGAAAGAGAGACAGAGAGAGGAGAAGAGCACGGAGAAAACCTCCTCCTCCTCCTCCTCCGTGTGTGATGCAACATGCAATGCTGTAACATTTTTTGCAAGCAGGGCTGCCATTGGATCAAATTCCTCATTATTCCTGGATCTCAAAGCATGCTGTCACTGCCACTTGAGCCACTTGAACCTTGCCAGTCCGCAGGCCAGTATATACGCGAAGGGTGAAGTGACTTGCCTCGTGATCACCAAAGCCGTGTTCGACAGGGTGAGATCAGTGGAGAGATCGGTGATGGAGGGTTCCTTGTTGAGGCTGTCAATACAACCTTTAGTAGAGGCATATTCACAAAGTTTCGCAAACATGATGACCACAGGTTGACCTGCAAAACTTAATAAAACGATACAAAACGTGTGAATTCACATGAGAAAGCTGTGAATGTCGTGAGGGATAGCTGGTTGTGAGTCTCGAGATTCCAAAGTGTTCCAACTGTCAGCAACTTGTAGGCCCTCCAGATGTTCATCAGGTGCATAGAATTTTTACGCATGCATTTTTTTATCATTTTTTAACACTTTTCAGTTTTGCTGAAGCACTACTGTAGCCTTTGGATAGCTCAAAGGCATCTTGCAACATTTTGGCTTGAGCCGGTGCAAAATTACGGCCAATGTTTGCGAAGTAAAGCCAGGCTGATGTGGTCTGCCGTCAGCCTTTCATGGCTTCTCTATACCCAGCTGGGTGGCGTTTTGGGCCTACGAGCATCCGAGAGCGCGACCAAAACAGCCGCACCTTTCCCGTTTGAGCACGAGCTGGTGCCGGACTGGGTAGCAACAGGTGGCTGCTTGGACTTTGCTTGGACTATCGGACACTATTGGGATATGGGATATAATTTGGGATATTAATGGATATTATTGGGCTACATTGTATAGTATCTTGGGATATGTTATGATATGTTGGAACCAAGAAGCTCCAGGAGCATTTTGCACCAGCCCGCCTTCAGCCCGATTAGCCATGCGACCCATTGACGTGACATTTCTGGTCGATCAAGACCCCCTTGTTTAATTTGCTTATATATATATATTCTTTTAAAGAGCATAATATCCTAAAGGTTCTATAAATCTTTCAGCAAATGCCAGGTCTCCTCTAGTCCTCGGGTCCGAGAATAAATTAGTATTTGGTGTTTCCCAATACCTCTCTCTTTATCTATATGCATCTACAATCATCTACATACGTATAGCTGTATAAATTCCGTATAAACATAATTTTTCGTATACACTTCTGCAGATAGATCTCTACTCCAACATGCGTACTGTTCATCCTATTTTCTTCTCCATTTTCTTCCAACGCATATTTTGAACTCATGGCTTTCTCATCATTTAGTAACTATTTAAAGTTATTTCTGGTTTCTCTCCTTTGTTCTTTCAATGACACTACCAAATCGAAAAATAAGAAACAAGTGGAGTGGCGTGCGCCATGTGACATCCTCTGCAACAAGATGTTGAATGGCTTAAAAACATGTAAAAACTATGTCCAGCAGCCTAAGAAAATACCAAAAAGAGGCGCCATGCAGCGCCTGTGTTTGGAACCACCTCAAGGCTTTCAAATGTAGGGCAGCATATCCCACATGAAATTGAAATTGCCTATGAAAATGAAACCGGACATTGGGCGTCAAACTATTAGAATTTCATGTGCAGTTTCAGCCTACAATGAACGGAAATTTGATTTGATTGGTACACGTTTGGCCTTTGTCCTCCGTTCCGTTAGGCTTGTAGACCAGCATGGTCTTACTATACTATGGATCTATAGCCTCTGAAGCTGAGGTTGCACCCTGCATGGTTGGAGTGGACGCTATGAGACTGAAGGATTTCCTGTTCTGAAGGTTGAAGTCACTGGGCTTTCATCCGCCCATTCAGTCCATTCGGTGCGTCAAGAATTCGCTGTGGCCTTGGAGTTCTTCACCCGTTGCGGTCCATGAAACGGTTGCCATAGGATCCCATAGGATCCCATAGGATTCCATAGGAACCTCGCTGATTTCTTGGAATTGTGTGCATCATGCTTTATTGTGTTTTCCATTAAGGTGACTCCCGAACTGTTCACTGCGGAGTTCTTTTCTGACAACCTTCCTGACTACATGGAAGAAGAGCTCCATGAGATTTTCAGCGAGTTGAACGGCCAACATTCACGTCAAGAAGCAGAGGAAACCCAGCGTTGTTCAAATTGATGTTGATTTTCCCATATTATTGGCACTCAGTGTTCGGATACTTGTAATTTGTCATAAAATTGTGATACTATATATGATATATGTACAGAGATTTTGTCACAAATCCTTGGCATGCATGATTTGCGTCAAATTTGCGGTGTTCAAGTACGGTGGGTTCAAGTCAACTGTCATGGTGTCGTAGCATGTCGTAGCTGCAATCCATTACAGTATCACCCAGACAGCTCGGCCTCAAAGGGGTGTTTGATGTGATGTTTGGCTGCTTCCAACATCTTCCAACCTGTTTCTGACATTTCACGTTACATCGTTGAAGCATTTTGAAGCTGTAAACCAAAGGTCGCTTGAAATCTTCCAGCCTGACCCGGCTGCTCCAAAACCTGGCGCACAGGACTTGCTTTGCAAGATGACTGCAGGGAGTGCCGTGACCGCCTGCAAGGCATGGTCTGCAACTGCCGAGTTGTGCCCAGAGGCGGTGGTGGACCAGGTGATTTGGCCATGATTTTCTGAACTCCAGTGGTTGATCAAAGTGGTTTGCTTTGGACATCTTTGGACCCATCCTGGAAGAGCTTCCTTTGTGTTTCCTGAATGTTGCTAACATGTCCTGACATGAGTGACACATAGTGACAATATGGTAACAATGGCTTTGTGGAATTCGAACTGCCTGATTCCATAAAACGACATTCGACAGATAAAGTGGTGGTAGATTAATCGGTATGCATTCCTCTGATGTCTAGCCGCTTAAGCAACATGGTGGTTTCGCCACGTTTCTCTAATGAATGAAGTCTATATAGATAAATAAAAGTTCCCCCTCCACATATGTTACAGTAACTGTTGTTTGCAGGCCAGTTCGGATATGTTCGGATAATTCGATCTCGCATCTTGCAATGCTTTGAGCCCATGCTAATTTGAATTTGTAAGTGCACATATTCATGTCATCGGTCGGCTGAAGTGCTTTGCAAGAGGCCGTTGAATGGGACATCAGGCTCAGTGGTAATCATTTGAAAGCAACTGAAGGACTGATTGGAAGACGGTCTGATATGTTGAGATTGTTGAGTCGCTCCTGAGAAGTATGAAGCTAACTCTCCCTTCAAAATCTGCAGAAATCCCGCTGCCATGAGTCCAAGGTATTTGATCCCTGGGAAAAGATGCCTGGTTGGTCAGCTGAAGGTGTAAATGCGTGCTCGTTCAATGGATGGAGTGGCCGTTCCGTGGTGCAACTATTATGCAGCTATGCAGATGTGGAAAGCAGATGCAAGGGATCAGAGAGACTGAATTGATTCCTCGCACCATGGTGCGTCGAGCAATGTTTGGAAACTGCACACAATGGATCGCAAAAAAACATGAATGGCATGTCCATATACTGTTTCCTTTGGTGGTCATATGTGGTCGTAGTCATGGTATGTCATGTTAGTGTGGTTTTGAGTGGTGCCACCACAGAGGTTACAAAAAAGATGGCCAGCCAGTTTTGATGGTCGACATTGGCCTCAGCTCTACGACCATCAAACTGATGCAAGATCCTGAAGGCTCAGATATGGAGCTCCTAAAAGAAATGAGCCTTGGGGGCAACACAGAGCACCATATCCGTTTGTATCAATTGATCATATTGAATGAAACACTCATTTTTTTAGAGAATTAACATCAATAAACTATATTCTTCAATATTCTTCATCCATTCGCTTGAGCTATTGTAAAAAGGAATCGGACTATGGAACCATTTGTAAATACCTCATTTGTTTTGGTACAGTGGGAGAATGCCCTTTGCCAGTGTAGATCAGATCAGTAGTAGTGCCGTATGTCGAAAGTGTTGCTTGCCATTGGCAGAAGCAGACCGCCGTTTGATTCTTACAACGTTTGGCAGCCAAGGAGTGGAACGCATCCAAATGCCGCCTTCTGTTTACTTCAGTCAGGCTCTTTTTTCACGTAGAAGTAAAAACATAGTAAAACTCAAGACTTTGGCTGGGCTCCTCATACCCACAAAAAAAGTTTTGAACGATTTGCCTTTGCAATCTCAGATGGAATATTGAATTGAATATATTGCTTGAGCTGAGGACGTAGTCCGGGACAAATTCTGCAAATTCCGTGAGGGTCGCTCAGATGTTCATTGGAAGGCTTTTGATACCCTTTTTGTCCCAATATTTGGGCCTGAGCCTAAACCCACCAAACTTGAGGTGTTCCCATGGTGTCCCCCTAAAATTTGGTGTTCATTTATGAATTTCATTTCACAGCTTTAAGCTATGCTTGGCTGGGTTTTCCTGCTACAAAAATCTTCAAATGGTGGTTTCCTTTTGGGTGTCGATGGATGCTATGGGATGCTTAATTCTGCTTATGTCAGGAGCCTGGGATTACTTTGCCTCAGACCGAGCATGTCACCTGTGGACCCATCACCGCCTATGCCATGGCGCTGAGGCAAAGGGCCACGTGCTTTTGCAGAAAAAAATCATGGATAAATGGGATGGTATATCCATGTAATCTGATAAACTCAATAATGAACCTAGCCATTTATGGTGATCTTGAGGATATTTGATGATGATTAATTCTTGGCTTTACCACAGTATTTCTATTGTCAGGTTATAGAATGGTTAGATTACAAGAGCGCAAAAGATGTTGAAGTTTTGACCTTTTGCACCTGAACTCTCACGCAACCACTCCAGCAGGACATGCCGGCCCCCATACCGGACCCCTGGCAGCGTCTAGTGACATCGCCGGGGGCGACAGACAGAAGCAATGGCTGCGAGAACGGTCACTGGATGGGGATCTACACTATGAATTCAGCAACGGTGCTGAGTGTCGACGTGGGTCCAGCAACCAGTACCATCGAAGTCTTTCCAGAAGCGACCAATGTAGATTTGCTCGACGCAGAAGACTTGGATTTGCTGTGGAAGGCGAATGGAACCAAATTCAACGATGAGCTTATTGAGATTCTGTGCGACATCCGGCGCAGTAATCCTTGGAATGTTGAAATCTCTGACAAGGCATGTCACTTATGGTCACAAACTCGCTGCAAGCAATTGTGTTCAGAGCTGGACGTTGACTCAGAGCCAGACCAATCGTGATGTTGTGAAGTGCAGAGCTAAAAACTGCTCTGCATGCCACTGGAGGGAAAGCAAGAAAAGCCTTTTGGAGCATTTTGGATGTTGGTAAGGCCAAAGAGAGACACTTTGAGATCTTTGAGTTCCGATTTCATTGGTCACAAACATAACTTACTGCAATATGAACAGCCCAACAAATCATGACCAGAAATAAACAATCTCATGGAACATTCCAGACCGGGGGATCTGTTACCAATTCCGGCAAGGCCTCACAACTAGCATTCCATTGGTGCAACATGGATCAACATGGTGCTTTGTGTGGCCAGGTATTGGGACCTTTGCGCGACTTCTTGAAACGAAACCTTGAGAAGTGCCGGAACTCAGCCTGTTCGGGTCCCTTTTGGTCAGCCTGGTCAGCCTGGATCATAGTGATGTATAATGAAGGTCAGGTGTGAAGAGATGTACATCTAAAAAAGGTAAAGAGATCCCAGGTGCTCCCTGGCGAACAGCGGGTTTGGAGCTGCAGCTCATTTCAGAGTTGCTCCATGTTGTGCCCTTGGGCTCAGGTATGCCAAGTACCAAGATGCTATTGCGCAAGGCTGACCCTGGTGATTTTCTTGGACTGTTATATATGATAATTATGGCTGTCATCATTTGAGCCAGGATATCTCATGATGTGGCGATGTTCAGATCGTGGCAGAACTGCAGCTCTATGGAAGACAAATTACAATTTCATGAGGAAGAGAGAGTATCTGAAATGCCACGACATACCAACATTCATCATGATTCATTGGCAGCGTTCCCTCGTGAGATCATGTCAGCTGGAAATCGTGTCCCTTTACGTTGCTTCGTGAAATCTACCCAGTTCCTCCAGCTCCCGTTTAGGTGCAGAGATTCGAGAAGTCACAGATGATGGCGACGATTTCCACACCAGCAAGGAGACTCTGAGACTCTTTGGGCCCGGCCCGGGTGAGAGGATGATTCACGACCATGATGCACATGATGCACGTTAATGAGTTGTTTATAATCTTTAATAATATATAAAGATTATAAAGTGACACTGATGTAGCAGCTTACTGCACTGGAATTGAGCCTGGCCATATACTTTGCAATTTTTGCACAGGTTCTTGTGATTTTGCATGTGCTCTAGGCCATGATGTTTGGGCTGAGACGGCGTTGAATTGCATGCTATACACCATCACCTACTGGATGCCGCAGCCTGCATCCAGGAGAAGGAAGAACTGCTTGAAACTTAGAAGCAAAGGCAACAAAGCGCAAGACAGGTAGACTGAGTAGATTCGGCCCTAGCTGGAAATCACTGTTTGGGCCATATATTATATTTTGAGCGAAGAGTCGAAGGCCGTTCACGTACGCTACTCCATGGCTCTAGGGTGTTTGTGTGTGGCGGCTCTTCCCCAGACTGCTGACATAGACTTATCCAAGAGTTCGGGAAAGTATTTGGATAGGGTTAGAAGAAATCAGATTGTATTTGTCAGCACGTCAGTTCTTCGGCGTGCGCTTTTGCCCGCACAGTGCCCAAGCGAATACACTTGGCAAAGAGTGCTCGTAGCTCGTCACGGCCTGTCCAAAGATGCCTCGTTGATTCGTGGTTGTTCAGATTGTTTTTTCTATGTTTGCAGACATTAAGTCGCGCTGTGGCGACGATTGTGGCTTGCCAAGGCTAGAGAAGAGTCGCCAAAAGGAGGACTGCCAGAATCTGCCAGGGATTGTCCATGGCAAGCACGTGACCCACGAAAATGAAATCCGAAGTCTAAGTGCTGAGCCCATCTTTCAACAAAGTTCACAAGATTTGTAAGTTTACAAGCTCAAAAAACTCATGTCTTGTGCTGATTCAGATGAAATCAGATTTATGTTAAGCTTAATTCTTCAACCGACTGACAAGTGGAAGGTTCGATCCAGTGATTTCTCCAACCCCATCCGGAGGATGAAGCCAGACCCACACGCAGAAGACTGCTCAGGAGCGCTCATTTGACCATCCATGGTTCCCATTTACTTAATTTTACTTATCAGTTGCTAATAGTTGTTCGCAGCTGTGGCTTACTTGCTCAGCAATATGATGAAGCCTTTTGCTTGGGCGTGTGGCCAGCAGTAATTAAAGCATCAGGAGTTGTTTGCATATGTTTGTCAGAGCATTTATGATTCACATTCGATAGTGTTCCATTGCTACATCAGTCACAATGGATTTGCGATTGAATCCTCGGAATTCAGCTAGTCAAGTCTCATCAGCTTGACCCAAGCAAACCTAGTGGGACCTGCAGGAAAGCTGACCGTGCAAACACGGTCTACAATGTGAAAATTAAGGCCAATGGGTTTCAAAGTCAGCTGAGGGAATTCGGACATGTCACACATATTCATACATTGTATTTTCGGAAATTAAAGCTCTACTTTTCTCGCTGACAGTATTCATCAACCTTATATATAAATATCCTTTCTTTATATTACATATAGTTAGAGATTATCCTCCCGATGCTTGGGTCATGTTACTGTGGGACATGGATCGCTACGCAGATGCCGGTGGATTTGGACCTGGAAGAAGAGGAAGAGGCGGTCCTCCCATACGCACCGTGCATTTTTGAGGAGAGAAATGTTGAGAAATGATGAATTTAGAGAAGATAGAAACATATAGAAACCCATTCGAAAAAGGGAAGGGTAGGGACATAGAGACATCTAGTTGTGGCTCTGCTTGGCTGGGCCATGGCTGGGCCACACACGCGCCTTCAGCCTCGCTGAACTTGAGAGATGGCGCTGGAGAGAAAGAGAGAGAGAGAGAGGGATAGTGACGGTTTTTTTGAGTTTGGGGTCTATTTGCATGGGCGTCAATGTTTAAAGAATTTCATCTCACATATTCGATCAGCAAATCCAGGCTGCAGTGCTTGTGTTTCCCTGCGAAGGCTGCTCCGCAAGAAAGTCAGGAAGTCAAGGACCCCTTTTCTCAGCTGGCCGTTTGAAGATTTCTGATGCTGGGGTGAAAGCATGTGAAAGCCTATGGCAACAGTATGCAACAGAAGAATCATGGTGCGATCCACATATCATACTCGTATGTAATGTATGCAGGATATCAATGGATGTCATCAGACATCATGTCATGATTCTGCCTTCTGACGATGTTCCTGGGAAAGGGCGTGGGTCAGGAAAGTCCTCCCGCAGGAGGTCCACGGGCCTGGCACTGGGCTGTGTGTTTTCACTGACCCCTGTGACACCAGAGGGAAGTCTGGCACAGAATCTGAAACTAGGATAAACATGGATAAACATGGATAAAGTAGGTAGCTATGGCATAAGTATGGGCCTCGAACTGATTCTGAAATCAACAGTGAATTATGATTAATTGATATTAATTCGATTTTCTATTGGATATCTAAGTATTGGATATCTATTGGATACCTATGGATATTGAATGGAAAGGTCCGTTGGAGATATCGTGAGGCTCGGTTGTTTGAGCTTCATCCTGGCAAAGGAGAGGCAAAGCAAACACTCGCTGACCGTGTGGAGCAGGATTGGAAGAAGTGCGATCCTCAGCTTGTCACAGTAGCAGGGCAAGTTGATGTTGCTTGATGTTACTTGTTGTTTGTACAGGCAACTAGCCTGAAGATGGAAACTCTAACATTGAAGCTTGTTGTTTGGGAAATCTGAGTTTCACACTTCATTGGTGTGCTGGTGGAAAGCGAAGGGAACACCATCCGAATAGTGACAAGCAATTCATGAGATTCCGTCCTTTCTGCACTTTGAGCACGCATTTCTGCAGGTCCCCATGGTCATGGGCGGCTAGTTGCTAGTTGTCCCCTGGTTACTTCGTCTGATGCAGCATCTTGACAGTTTGCAAGTTGCAGTTGCTGCCACCATCGACATCCTAGTGATTCCTAGTGTCATTGGTATGATCTCCCAATCAACGCTACAAGTGCAGCGTGCGAAAAGGAGTTGGAACTCTCCAGTAATCTCGAATAGCATACCCACTTTAAGCCCAAATTCATCCAAATTCTAGGGCCTAGGGGATACAGCCCCAGTAGTTGGGGACAAAAGCACCCAGTGCTAGGAGTTCATGATGACCCCCGCAGACCATCCCAAGTGTACCAGAAATGGGTGGCATAGACCATCCATCAAGGCCTCAGCTGGTGAAACCAAATGAGACCTTCGCCGTTGCGTTGGGGGACTCGGATCGTCGGATATCGGCTGACCATGACCAGTGACTAAGCAGCCAATCTGTGGAAAGCTCAAGACTTCTGTCTCAGAACCACTTGGCTGAACTGCAAGCCATGCCAATTGAATACCATTCAGAGCAATTGTGGGAGACTGCAAGTGCTCTGAGGTAACTTGCAGTGACCAAGCTATTTCACCCAGTCTTGTGTCTTCGGACTTCCTAGTTGCATCATGTTGCATCAATTTGCTCTTATTTTTATGGGTGAATTTGCGGTATGACTTGAGACGCACGGAAAATAGCAACCAGAAACCAACAGACTTCCCCCAGCCGTTTGCCAAAGGCGAAGCAAATTTTCGGCACCGCTCTTGGCAGTACAGTCGTCTTACAGTCGTCACTGCAAACTTTGGCACTTCGACTTCTCCAATCTTCTCCATAGACAAGATTTTTTTCCGAAGGAAAAGGGATTTTCATGGATTTTCATGGATTGTCACTATTTTTCCATATACTGTAATGCCAACATCGGATTAATCAACCCCCCCTCCCTATAGGTCAGGGTATACCTTGCAAGGTCTTTCCTGAATCCTCCCTAAATAAACGGCCCCTGACATGGGGGTTGATTAATAAGGGGCAAACCCTGATTATTATTAATGGAGGACATGGGCTCATGGGGGGTACCCTTTGGGAGCTATCCAAACTGATGATTTTTACAAAGAATTTAATTAAAAATCGATCATTTGGGGAATAGTAGTTTTTTCAAATTCTCATTGATCAGCAGTGATGGGTTCTGGTGTTCATGTGGTTTCAACTTAAATATAGCATAAGGAAACCATAAGGAAACCCTTTGAAACTTTTGGATAACAAAAAATCAATTTCAGCACTGGTGGTTGATTAATCATGTCCCAGCCAAACGGTTTATTAATCCTAACTTGACATTATTGGGAATAATAACCCCAACTGACTAATATTTTTCAGAGGGGATGAAACCACCAAACAGATTTCATTCCCACTTTGAATGCCATGGCATGCCATGGCCTGAGCTTGAGGTCTTTGGTGGCCTTCGAAAAGGAGAAAAATTTACGATGGACAAAGCCGTGATCCTTCGAACAGAGGTTGGGAATGACCAGGCTGTTGGATCCAGAGTACGAAAATGTACGAAACTGCTGAGCAGCTACTGAGCAGCTATTAAGCTACTGCGGCTACTGCGTCTTTGCATGTTTTTGCTGGATTATCTTGGTTCTGGCGTGTGTCATTCCGACATTGGCCATCAGCTCACCTGTACGCACCTGCAGACCCCCTCACCTTTCGTACCTCATAAGTCAAGAGATAGATATAATATGTGTATAAAATTGTATAAATATATCGCAAGATTCAATTACCATCAATTACCTTTATACTATCTACATACATTCATATAATTACATATATATATATATAGACGCTTATGTTTTGGCGTTATCACTGCTGTGTAGCAAATACTAAGTTTTACTTGGGTTAAACATCGTATCTATAGATATATATACTAAGTTAAACTTAGTCTTTGAGCAACTGCGAAGTTAAACATAGCATTTGGAATCTTAGGGTATATATTATATTTAAAATGTGTGTATTTATGTATCAAGGTCTCCAAAAGATTAAGACCTTCATGGCTGGGTGATGGCACGGTGCCTTTCGAAGGCTTCACAAGGTGAGGGTGTTGAGGACTTGGGGATCCTGGGAAGTGAAGTGCCCGGAAATCCCTCCAGGTTTTACTAAGCGAGATTTGAAGGATGGTAGGAAGTTGAAACCTATGAAACTAATTAAACTAAGTATTAATAGCTGATCCTTTCAAAGACGTACTTGAATGCACTTGAATCATATTGCTGTTTGATCTTTGAAACAGGTTGTGGCGCTTCATCAGTGAAAGGTAGTGGACTGGAAACACAAGGGAGATACCTGAAAGACCCTGAAAAGGCTGGCTGTTCAGGGGTGTACGCAGTACACTGTGTGCCTTTGTGTTTGCCACCACTGGGGGTCACAAAAAGTAATGCAAACATAAGCGAACAACCTTTTGGACACCACTAATTTGTGATGATTGGGTCAGCTGTCGGGCTCGGGCTCGTTTTCATGACGGATGGAGGGAGGGAAATGTAATAGACATGTTGATCATGTTGCATGTCATTGCACAGAGCATGCTGCAACAAACATATTGAAAAAAAACACACACACACACATCAGTCATGACACGTCATGACATTTCCCTGAATCGAGTGGATCTTTGTGCCGCAAGCATAGCCCAGTCCGGTGGTGCATGGTCCAACATCCAACATGCCCGAGGATTTTTATCGCTGGTCTGGACCTACATGGCTGCAGGCCCGGCCCCAGCGATGTGCTACTGACCTGGTCAAGGTGAGCGATCCTGTTCCCCAACTCAGCAAACGGTGAGCAACCTGCCTACTTGTAGCTTTATGCGAAGGTGAATACTTCCCTGTGATACATAATCAATTCACAATCATAATCATATTATATATATACATATCTATACATTTCATTACATCTCCAAGTTTCACTGAAATAACCGTCACAACATGTCACAACATTTGTCAAGCTGCCAAGCAGCTGTGCTCTTTCCCGGATTTCCGGCCTGGCGCCATGACCAGCTGGTTCCAGCGCACAAGGGATGCCTTGTTTTCCGTGAATGGCTTGACCATCAGCTGCCTGCCACTTGGAGAGCATGTGGGTTGCGGATGCCCTGCGTTGTAACCTGAACACATGGAAACTACGGAAACTAAACACAGCTTCATCAGAACAACCTGGAAAAATTGTTTGTGGTTTGGATCTGTTTGCATTTTTCATGGTTAGTTTGCCAACATCATATCCAATTTTTCTTAGACAGCGATTCTTTGGATTCCATTGCAATGCGCAATGTATTGAAATTAGCTTGAAAGGGATCAGGATAGTCAAATTTGGTTGATAGCTGGTGGAGAGCGGTATTTTCTGAGCTACGAACTAACAGTGCCATCCCTTTGCTTTAGGACCGTGTCCCCTTCTTTTGAATGCAATCACACGCACGCATGTAAGAGTCAGTGAAAGTGTATGAAGACATTGGTGAATAGTTTGCAGTGTCGCCAGAGTATTGCTTATGGGGAGTTCGCTCATAATCACAGGAGGTAGTCGTGCCTGAGCAACAGTTGCTTCAAAGGAAGCACGTGAACATCCAATAATAAGAGCTATTCAGGCTATTCAGAACAACATGTGAAACATATTGGAAAACATGGGGAAGACATTGGGAAACACACTTCAAGCACATTGAAAACCCTACTTGTATAGTGCATAGTATCATATAGTATCCTATAATTACTAGATATTACTAGTAGTTTCTTCTGGCATTTAAGGCAACACCATGCAACACCTATATTTCCACGCCAGGGCTTTTGGCTCGTGGCTCCTGTTGAGAGATTTGCTGAACGACTACTGGGCTGCCAAACGTTTGGCGCAGCGCAAGGCTTTGGAGGTCCATGGCCCAAAGTGACGACGGTGGAGAAAGTTGCCGGAGAAATATGGCCAAATGCAAAATGACAGGTACTGCCGCATCAAGTTTCACGATTGTATAAGGGTAGCAATTAATATAATAATGTATCTGTATATTATACTTCAGGATCTTCAGGAGGAACAAAGTTTTTGTTTCTTGAAAGCCTTACAAAACATCCATCTCGGTCAACTGCGGACGACATTTTCAAGCCCGTTTTGTGTGGCAGGTGTGGGACGGTCAATTATCATCCTCGTTTTAAATGCATAAAAATTTAAAGCTTTCGGAGGGTGGAAATGCGACCGGGGTAAGCTCCATGCTAGGATTCTACGGGGAAAGGATGTGCAGAAGACACCAAACATGTACATTGCCGGAAGCTCAACAAGCGCAACTTTTGTCCTACCAGTGCGTCACGGCACATGTGTAGCAGCGCAGGCAAAGAGGATGGAGACAGATATGTCTGTTATGTGGAAGACAGGTATGTTGTGTGGAGTAATGACCAAGCTGAAGCACGCGTAAAAATCAGCAGATGACTTGGCAATTCCCACTAAACAAGTTTTTGTTTGCTCTGCGTCAGGGCACATGTGTAGCAATGCAGACAAAGAGGATGGAGACCGATAGTTTATGTGGAGTAATGACCAAGCTCAACCACGTGCAAAAATCAGCAGATGACTTGGCAATTCCCACTAAGCAAGTTTTTTGTATTCTTCTGGAGGAACAAAGTTTTTGTTTCTTGAAAGCCTTACAAAACATCCATCTCGGTCAACTGCGGACGACATTTTCAAGTCCGTTTTGTGTGGCAGGTGTGGGACGGTCAATTATCATCCTCGTTTTAAATGCATAAAAATTTAAAGCTTTCGGAGGGTGGAAATGCGACCGGGGTAAGCTCCATGCTAGGATTCTACGGGGAAAGGATGTGCAGAAGACACCAAACATGTACATTGCCGGAAGCTCAACAAGCGCAACTTTTGTCCTAGCAGTGCGGCACGGCACATGTGAGTGTGCATATATGTGTGCACATGGGGTGTCATGGGAATATATGATTCAATGACGGTATGTAGAACTAAAATGACTTGGTCATTATGCGAAGTAAAGGTTTGAGTGCGTGATGCTTGTGGGGAGCCAGGCCCCAGTGTTCGATAGTGTTTAGGAACTGGTGCTCCCTGCAAAGCATGTCTCCCTCGGTGTCAGCGTGTTTCTCCCTTGCAATAGCCGCTTAATAGCCTTCGCCCAAAGCCATCAACCTGATACCAAGCAAAGGCAACAAGTGAATCCGTGTTGACACCAGGAGCAGATGCATTTGGCGCCTCGGCAGTGGCATGCTGAGGACCTGGCCCCATACAATGGCACTGATCCACAGAAACCGAGCCTCGCCACACATATCTTGGGAGATGGAACAGGGATCCACATCTTCATCATCCTATTGATTTATTGTTATATATTGTTCTCAAATTTGGATAGTAATTTGTACCCATCTCATTTGTGTTTGTGATCTCAGTGTAGGATTTGAACACGGGGAAGGAGAAAAAACATGCAAAAAAGAAAAGAAGGGGTTATGAAACAAGCTCGTGCCACCTGGACAAACACGGCCATGCAGCGGTTAGCCGTGTGTGTGTGTACGTGTGACGTGATGCTGATGCTGGAGAAAAAAACAAACTTACATAAACTTACACTTGGAGATTGTTCTGGACTACAGATGAATACAGTGACTACCATGATGATATGTCAATGGGATGTCAATGGGATGTCAATGGGTTTATTTGGTGAAGATTTGCCAATGTCCCAGGATCCTGATCGGAGTAGATGGCATCACAGCTGCAACCTAACCGCCATCGCCGTGTCGCCGAGTTTCAACTGACCTGGCAGTGAGACTCGCCCTGACTCGACCCAAGGTGAAGTCTTCAATGTATGGCGCGGCCGCGACTTTTATGGAGCTCAGGTGGCCAAGATTTGCCAAATCAACAGCATTTCACGGTTACATTTGTATCAATCAACATCAATCAACTCACTTTGAGTTCCAAAAATTAAATTTGGTTTGCATCAACTCACTTGCATTTGCTGAATTTCGTTCTGTTTTTCTCCTGGTCACTCCTGGTTGTGTTTGAGGGAAAAACCAATGCTCATGGAGTTCCATTGTTTTGCTGTGGCTTGCAGGGCCCTTATGGCGTTTTTGCTGGCAAAGATGCCACTCGATACTTCGCCAAGCAGCTTGTTAGCCTCGAGGACGATGATGGCCAGCCTTTAACTTCCGAGGAGCGCATGGTGTTTGTGCCCAGGTGGACGAACAGATTTGTCAGCAAGCAGTGTGCCCATCGTTTAGCATCATTTTGGTGTAGTAAATGTTTCATCATTTCCGTGCCAATGAACCAATCAGTTTCTAGATTTTTCAGCTTGATGAACGCGTCAAAAATGGCCCACCGACACGACTGGCGAGTGTTGCCCCGTAGGAATTGGACAACATGAAGAGCTGGAAAGAGTGTCTTAGCTGATGGACTATTATGAACTTACAGGCAGAGATCCCATGAGAATCTGATTTGGAAAGGTTGTGTATGTTGCGTCTTTGCAGGGTGCAACTTCCGCTATGTGTGTGCTGCCCAGGTTTCTGAGATTCAAGTATGATGCTGCTGGCACGCTGGTGGCATGAAGCTTTAAATATGCGGACAAGAGACTGTACAGAGAGCTTGCAGGTTGGATGAAGCCAATCCAAAAATCCAAAATGATGTAGATAGTCAATGATTGGACTCACAGTTGCACCACGTCTACAGTATGTACTTTGTACATGACTGCACCCGACTGGAAAAACAAAATCTTTTATATAAGAGCAATCTATAGGAATCTCTTAGTTCAAAAAACCTTGAAGGATCTTGAAGGGTTTCATCGCATCTTGCAGATGCAATGGGTTCGCATGGGTTCGCTGAAATTTGCTGAGATTTGTTTTTGATCAGTATCCTTTTGTAGAGCTAGGCTCTCCAAGAATAGCAGGGCCTGGTCGTCATCCGTCCATGAAAACTGCCATGGACGTGGAAAGATTTGTTTCCCTGGCACTTTCCCAGTGTGTGGGACTGAATCGTCCACATCCCAAGGAACTTAGCAGCTCAGCTTGTAAAAAAAAGTGAGGGAGTGGAATGCTTTACCTGCAAGACGCAAAACACATCAAGATACTCTGTACCAAAAAATCATCCCAATAGAGTATAGTATAGTAGAGTCCCAGCATGTCCCAGCCCATAAAATCCAGAGAATCAGCACTGCCACCAATGCCAGGGCCAGATCCACATGGCCGTGGTATGCCAAAAGGGTCAGAAGTCTGCTGCAGATCCGACACCAAATCAGGACCATTTGAAATGCACACTTCAGGTTGGAGAAGCCTGGAAGACCAGAATCATGCAAAAGTATATTATATTATATTATAAAAATATATATATGTATACATATTATAAACTATATCTATTAATTATATACATTAAAATTTATACATATATATATATATATATGTGTATAATTAATTACATATATATTAAAATTGTTATATATTATATTATATATATATATTATATTACCGTTATATTGGCCAACAGAGAGGGAGGAGATGGACAGCCCAGTTTTGCAAGGGCACTTGATGCGTAAGTTGCTCTATGTTTCTTTGGGTTTCAATGTTGTCAACATGGATCATGCATGGCATGCAACAAATCCTCTGGCGGCTGGCGAAAGCTGTCTCAGGACAACTACTTCGCACACCACGTGGGTCGCTCAGAGGGAAGTTGAAGGTCTTGAAAGCCAGCTGTGGATGGCCAAAAGATGTTCATATCAATGCAGCACTGAGGTCGGTCCTATTGGCCTGTATGGTGTTTGCGATGGACATGGTCCCTTTGGTCACCTGGTCTCCTTTCGCTTAGTCACTTGGCCGAGGCTGATTCTGCCAGAATCTGCCAAAGATCAATGAGACTCTTGACGCATGACACCATACGAACAGGTCAATATCGATAGATTGAAATTTTGTTAGAGAGATGTTAATTCAAAGGCCCTTAAAAGATTAAAGCCATCATTGAATTGAGGTGATCCAGTTCCTGTCTTTTTTATATATTTTTTGATCACCTGCAATGTTGGCCCATTTTGGTCGGACGCACATTTCCTTTGAGCCAGTGATATATCCCGCTGAGGTGCAATCGCTGCCGCGGTGTATCACAACCAATCGCCATTGGGGACAGGCCCGGCATGAAGAATCGGAGGATATTGGAGGTTACCATGAGATGAGCAGCCCTAGGTCTCACATCGTTTCCCCAACCGCAGACGCCCCTCAAGATTTAAACCTGAAAATGGATGAAAATGGGAACCCAAAGATGATTTTACTGCTGGATATGGCCCTTTTTGAGTTGGATGTTAAACATGTGGAGTGTAACAACGTAATCCAACATGATTCCAGATTCATGAAGCCACTGGGAAATAGTTAATTGTGAACCAGATGTGACATCATCCACGGAGATATTGTCAGACCATGAGCTTGTCAGGACTGGAGCCTGTGTCTCAAAGAAGCCTTCCTGGCAGCTCAACAAGAACTCCTCGCCTTCGCAGCGCGTGAAGGACAGATCAGACCTGCACCCCTGGTACCCTGCGATTCTCTGGGATGTGTTTTGGAAGCTGCCGTCAACCCGAGGTTGAGACGGGTTGTTTTTTGACACTTAAGTGCTTCGACATATTTTGGGGAAATGATTTTGGCCTTCCTCCCCAGCCACTGCAGCGACTCAAAGCTGTTTTTTTCCCCAGATGATGCGCAATGGCATTTGCAAAAAAAATCGTGACATCAAAGTTTCCTTTGCAATGTCATAAGACGGTTGCACGAAAAAAAGGGTCCACTTAACAGACCCTTTGACCTCCTTGCCTTTTACGCCACAGTTTAATCCCATCCAAGAGTCCAAGACTATGGTTTTTGCCATCTTCTGCAAGTGGGGCCATGCTGGCTCGGAGGCTTCAATTTGGAAGCTTCGGGGGCAGCTGGTTCTGTGCTGATCTTTGAGGTGGGTTGGGAACTAGTCGGGAGAAATTCATCCAAAGTGTTGGCAAAACAAAATGATCACCCCCTTCAACCCTCCAATATTTTTTTGGGGGGGGTAGGCAAGAAATGTCCGAGAAATATATCGCCTGACCACGTGAAATATAACTCCCCAACATGTTTTTTTGGCTGGCAAAAGAGGTTGGGGGGTCGTCCGGATGCCAGACTTTAGCCTAGATATGACAATTGGATACCCATAGATTTAAAAATGGCATATAACCTGTCTGAACTCGTGCTCCTGATGTTTAAATACTTGCCACGGCTAGATACCCAGAAACCTTGCTGCGGCCATGGAATGTCCTTCTAGAAATGTTACAAGGGTTTTGCACCCACCCACCCAAGAATTTCACCATTTAGATTCATTGATTTTTTTTTGTACGATCACAGTTACCAGCGGTTTTGGTTGCTAGATAGGGTGAGCAATGGTGAGCAAACGACCCACCGGTGCCCGCAGATGCATCAATGACAGTGCTGAGTATATGAGCTAGAAATATTTAGCTGAAGTATGTCTATAGTGGGGTGGGAGGGTAACACCCCCTTTTTGAAATATTTCAGTTGTTACCCCCCCCACCCCCTCGTAAAGCGGGGGTGAGACAGAATGAAATATATGTTGGCACGCATCGTTCTGATGCAATCCAACCCAGCAGTGAAGAGAGCCAAGAGCTTCCCCCACATTGCATGTGGGTTTGTGGCAACCATGGGGTGTATGATTCAGTGATTTATGATGAATAATGTTGGATACTGATTAGTGTACGGCCCCCCCCTCAACAATTTTTAGTAAAGATTTCAATTGACATCAATCTACTTTCAGCTGATGTTCCTTTTAAACCTCAAAAACATCTATTGATAAGAAAGGACTTCAATTGAAATCAATTTGTTTTCAATTAATTTGAACCTATTTTCGATTGATTTTCCTTTTAAACCTCAAAGAAATCTATTGATAAGGAAGGATTTCAATTGAAATCAATTTACTTTCAATTCATTTGAATCTACTTTCAATTGATTTTCCTTTTAAACCTTAAAGAAATCTATATAGTGATAATGGATTTCAATTGAAAGCAATTTACTTTCAATTCATTTGAATCTACTTTCAATTGATTTTCCTTCTAAACCTCAAAAACATCTATTGATAAGAAAGGATTTCAATTGAACTCAATTTGCTTTCAATTCATTTGAACCTATTTTCAATTCTATTGATAAGGAAGGATTTCAATTGAAATCAATTTACTTTCAACTCATTTGAATCTACATTCAATTGATGTTCCTTTTAACCCTCAAAGAAATCTATTGATAAGAAAGGGCTTCAATTGAAACCAATTTATCAATTCAAGATCCACGTTCAATTGATTTTCCTGTTTAATCCAAAAAATATCACCCATCAAAGTTTTCATGCACAATAGGGTACCATCGCAGCAACTACATTATTGAGGATTTGGGTCACTCATGGGGTACCCCCTTGAAAATTTGTTTGGGTGCATTTGGGTGCTGTTTTTAAATAAGGGTTTAATAAGGCATCTAATTATTTGAGAAAGCTTGCATTTTCAAGGCTTTAACATTGATATGGCTTTCTAAAGTAAATGGACCAGCTTTACCAAAAGAAAGGTGGATAAAAGGTTTTGTGTTTTTTTCACCCCAAAAGTTTTTGTGCACATTGAAACAATTATATACATTGTTGAGGATTTGGGTCACTCATGGAGTACCCCTTGAAAATTTGTTTGGTGCAAATGGGTGCTGTTTTTAAATAAGGGTTTAATAAGGCATCTATAATTATTTGGGAAACCTTGCATTTTCAAGGCTTTAACATGAATATGGCTTTCTAAAGTAAATGGACCAGCTTTACCAAAAGAGAGGTGGATAAAAGGTTTTATGTTTTTCTCACCCCAAAAGTTTTTGTGCACATTAGGGTACCATCGAAACAATTACATTCTTGAGGATCTGGGTCACTCATGGGGTGCCCCCTTGAAAATTTGTTTGGGTGCATTTGGGTGCTGTTTTTAAATAAGGGTTTAATAAGGCATCTAATTATTTCGGAAACCTTGCATTGTCAAGGTTTTAACATGGATATGGCTTTCTAAAGTAATTGGACCAGCTTTACCCAAAGAAAGGTGGAAAGAGGTGGATAAAGCTCCTCCTGGTAAAATTGGATCTGAGAAAAAAACTTCTCATGTTAGTGTATTAGGGGGAAGCTTCGAAATCCAATTTTGGGCAATATTTTAATTGGGTTATAAAAGGAAATTTAATTGATTATGAAATCGAAAAAAATATGTTTTTTTTCCCGAGAGCGTCTGAGCGCAGGGTTCTTCCAATAGTGGGGGTCTGTAAAACATCTTCTCATCTTCTCATCTTCACATCTTCTTATCCTCACATCTTCTCCTCATCCCTCATCTTCTCATCTTCACATCTTCTCATCTTCACATCTTCTCATCTTCACACCTTCTCATCTTCGCATCTTCTCATCTTCACATCTTCTCATCTTCACATCTTCTCATCCTCACATCTTCTCCTCATCTTCTCATCTTCACATCTTCTCATCTTCACATCTTCTCATCCTCACATCTTCTCCTCATCTTTCCATCTTCTCCTCATCTTCTCATCTT